CCCGACGAAAACATGGTCGCACTACCCGACATCGAATCCAGATACTGAAGAACGGAAAAGAGCTGCCAAGCGCAGTGGGCAAGGTACAGCAACCGCTTCCAACTGGAAAACCGCCTATGACAACCTCAGAAGGGTCAGAGCACGCGCAGTGAGCCAAAAGGTGTGCTATTGTTGTGGTTCAAACCAACATCACCTGGCTATTTGTCCCGACACTGAGAAGAAGGACGAGTTGATGAACTCATTCTCTCACATGGAGGACACTATGCGCAAGTGCTTCACCGAGGACGACAAGGCAATCATCCGACGTGATGTTGAAAGCCGAAAGAGGAAAGCAAAGTCATCCAAAGACGTCGAAGACGAGGACTACATGGATGTGGATGATGAAGATATTGAACTTCCCGAAGAAGAGCCGGAACTAGGAGGTAAGGTACCACCTCACTCTCCGAGAGCCAAAGGTAGACCACACTCGTCAGACTCTGCAAAAGAGGAATACGCGAAAGCGGTCGAGGCAACCAAGAAGGCCTTTGGGAACGCCAGTTTCGTCACCAGATTCAAAGAGCCCGTCGACCTCTTTGACATTGCCGATGACAAAGAAGGAGGAGAGTACAGGGTCGCAAATCACAGGGTTGATAGATCAGGTCCTAATGGAAAGTGGGAACTTGATGCACTTATTCAGGAGGCTGCAGCACTCGGAATAAAGATGCCCAAAGTGAAGGACCTTGCTCCTGACCCACAACAAGCTCAAAAGGTTGGATATCGGCAGATTGAGGTGACTTGCGATAGAGGAAGCATCGAGATAATTCCACAGTATGGAGTTACATTCTATGTGGAGTACTGGAATGGACCGAAGAGAGATGCAACTTTCACGGATCCACCAAAGATGAACCCAGCAACTCGCATCGACAAGTTCAGCGAGGAGAGTCAGCGGGTCAACGAGGTTAGCCATAGACTCAATAGACTACTCAGGCATGGAGTGGGAAAGCATAATGGGATTCAATCGCACCGCGGTCGAAAACCTCATGTGTCCCCGAAGTGTAATGAGGGTGGATGGGTGAACATCGATGAGATCCTGGAATATGACCATGTCTTCAACGATGGTGTCGATATCAGTACTATCTCAGGTGATCGGCATCGTCAAGATGTCAAGACAGAGCGATACCAGTATTTATGCAAGGCGATGTGGCATGCAAAGAAGTTGCAGAACAGAGTACGCTATCAGATTGCCGCCATTCGTATCTCAAAGGAGGATGTCTCACTCGAAGAGGAAAGGCAATACTGGGCAAACCTCATGTTTTACAGCACAGACGCACCGTCATTTCTGAAGCATGAACGTTGGATCGTTCCTTGTGCAATTCGAGCTGTTGCCTCTCACAATTCTGGAAGAGAGACTGTTCTTGAAGAGGATGTGTCAATATATCCTGTGTGGACTTCACATCTCACTCCAGAGAATGTGGCAATGCAGCTTGGAGGAAGCTTTCACATGGCATCGCTTTCCAATATTGAGTCAATCATGAAACTAGGAATTGTCCCTGGTGGAACGGAGGGATATAGAGGTAGTGTTTTCTTCAACCACTTTGCGCCGTGGGATGATCGATCATCAAAGATTCTGAGATCAAGATGGCCAAGAGTGGGAATGCCCGTTTGCCTTTATGTTCCAATCATGACTTTGAGGAAGCTTGGGGGAAGAATTTCGGAGAATTCCTACACTGTTGTTTTTAGAGAAGTTCCATGGAGATGTGTACGAGGTGCTTGGTATTGGGACGACCACGTTCAGGCATGGAGGAGACTCCTGCTGGGAAGCACTGGAGAGCAAGTTGTTCTAGCGGCACGTCATGGACTTTGGGTTGCTCAGAAGCATACCATCCTCGAGAGAGCCGACGAAGTCACGAAGTCAGCCTCGGCGACAGATGACAACGTCCAAAAGCTCGTGTCCCTTATCGATGAAGTACGATTCGATGACAATGGAGAGCTGATCGAGGATTCCATCAGTGAGGAAACTTGGGACGAAATCATCTCCAGAACATGTGAAGGGTATCGCAACGTGGATGGCAATATTTTGTGTCCATCATGTATGCATTTGACTTCTTCATCTTTGTCCGTGTGTCTATCTTGTCAAGGCAGGCTACTCTCGTGTGGTATTCGCAACACTGTCATTTCCGATTCACCCGTTGATCTTGTGAGCGGCGATGAAGAGGAAAAGAAGGAAAAGAAGGAGCCTGAAGATGATGATCAAGATATATTGGACCAGGCCACTATGGACGAGATCAGAAAGGCTTGGGAAGAAGACATCGCTCAAACTGAAGCAGCTGACGACGACGAGGACATGGACAATCTAGATCCTCCCAAACCGTCTGATGGTGCAGAAAACTTCAAGAGTGACAATGTCGAGACCCCATCTTTCAATGAGGACGAGATCGACTACGGTCGTGATTCTGATCTAGAAGATGAAGACGAACGAAACGTGATCATCGAGATCCAGAGGAGCACACAACAATATGAGGGGAAGAAACGTCAAGATGGTGAGCCCGAGGATGAAGACGTCACCGACGACTTACATCCGGAGGCGAATCGACCGACAGATCGTGATGAACCGGGATACTATGCACAGCATGGAGCGACCGAGTTCAATCCCGAAGAAGGAAGAGACAACGAAGATCTCCCCATCTATTGTCGAGTACCGGAACCTCGAATCTATGCGCATCAAGAGAGAGCCTACTGTCAGGACGTCTCCGTGAATGCATCGGGTTTGATGGATAGGTATGTGGTCAAATGTGTGCTGAACATGATCTCCCTGATGTACAAGAGCTACTATTGCACCAGCCTTACCGACTTCAAAGCAAATTGGAAAAGGAAGCGACTGGATGTGATAAGCAAGTTCGGTACAGGGGATTCCACAGAAATCGATGACGATGGGAGACCATTGGATCCAACAGATGATATGATGTTAATCTTTGCCAACGACAACAATATTACAACTGAGGAGGCCTGGCACCGATTCAGAGGAGAGCAATTCATTTGCAAGGTGGCACTCGTGATCCTATCATTTGGTCATACTCCGCAATCCTTCAAGAAGGATTATGGCAACTTCGAATACCCCACCAACTTGACTGATGCCCAGCTTGAGGAGTTGAAAGCGAAGAAAGCCAGCGCAATGACTGAATTGGTACAGAAGTGCATCCATGCGATTTATGGGTGTCGGACATATTCTTACTTTAGAACCGACATTACATCACCCTACCACAAGGTGATCGATCCTCTGGACATCATGTACTCGAGAATGAAGAGCAAGTGGGAGAAGTCTATTCTGTTGATCATTGATCAACATGAAATCAGGTTGCCCCCACAAGCTCAGGAAGTCATAGAGTCAATGGCCAGAAACCCCAACGTTGGACATACAGAGAGATGGATGAGCGTGGTAGAACATAAGCATGTTCAAGCTCTTACCAATCGTCTAGGCTTTGGAGATAGGGCCAAGGAGATTCAGGGCAAGAAGAAGCAGGCAGCCAAGGCAACAGCTAAGTCAACATTAACGACTAAGTCTGAAGCGAAAGCAGCATCTTCGTCAAGAGCTGAGGCAAAGCCAGCATCTACACCCAGAACCGAGGCCAAGCCGTCGTCAGCACCAAGTGAGGAGCCAAAACCTTCAACAGCACCTAAGAGTTTTGGGCCCTCATCAGCAGAGGAGAACAAGGCGAAGGCTGCTCCAAAAGCCAGACCACATGATAAATCACCATCCAGTGCTACCGATGTGTTTGAGCAAGCTTTGCAGGAAGATCTTGCCGCCAACGCACATGCAGCAGAAGGTACAACTTCTTCATCATCCCGAGGACATTCCAAAGGAGGAGGCCAATCTGGAACATCTTGGAGGCCGGCGCTAACGCAAGAGCGTCGCGAAGTACCTCAACCTTCTGAAAAGGGGAAGGGAAAGAGCAAGTCCAAGGGAAAGTCCAAGAGGGGGGAAGATGATCGGTGGGATGCCCAAGGCAGCTGGGATCATCGTGGATGGAGAGGTTATCACCAGTGGTGAATTCTTTGAACAACTATGAGGATACCATGCAAACCAGGGAGGAAATCATTCACCGGATGTTTATCTGACCTGAAACGCTGTAAGTGTATCATTGCAAATCATCGGATTGACGATTTGATACCATGAGCATAATGGAAGGTAGACAGTCACCGACTGTCTCTCCGACTTGCCGTTCTGTAAGTGTATCCAAACCGAAACCTACATCTTTTGAGAAGTGTGAAGTCAGTTGCCGATGTGACATCTACGTGGAAGTCACCAGTTCGGATCTACATCAAAGCGATGCTCTTTTGAGTGGATACTGAGCGAGGCCTCGTGACTGTCTCACTTGTTCAATTCGATTTTTCAAAGGTTCTGAGCCATAGTTGCACACTTTATATGTAAAAGTCCGCTTTAGTCCAGCATGTTTCGTAGTATGAGCCTCATATGAGTCTCGCGGCAAATCATACAATTTCTTTTGTAGCACTTACATCCCTAAATTTTCGTGTGTGATCGGAACATATTGTTGCCGTTCACATGGGGGGTGCGAATGGAAGTGCAGCGACACGTACAGTGCAACTTGTACATATATATGTACCATATGTACTTTGGCTCAAGGATCAAGCGACTAGAAAAGGTGCGGTTTCCGTTCCGACGCTACGCCGCTTATGGACCGTCAGTGATAGCTTCAAACTTCGCTGATTAAGATCCACTCGCATTTAGTATAATGGAAACAAAAAACAATGTGAGTGACAAGCTGGTTGCGACCACTGAAACGAAGGGCCCTGAGCCTGGGAGCGGTGTCGAAGCATTGGCATCAACAACCAGGCATTCACGCAAGCAATATCGGTGGTCTTGAATTAGGGAGACACCAAAAACCAACTCTGGAAACCACATAAAATTCACGAGCAAAATCATTGAAGGTGATCTCCCTTTTCCTCCCAAACATGTGTTGAAGTCGCAAGCGGAAGAGCTGCCACTCCCATCCCCCAACGAGGACGGATCGCCGACGCAGCAGTCTGAACGGCACTCGACTGGTGGCTTGGCGAGAGGCCATCTCTAGTAGGTTCTTGGAATTGGCCTCTCCCCAAGCAACATGGCGGGGTCAGTGAGGGAACAACACCCAGACACTTCATGCAAGGAATAATCTGCCTATATTATACATTGACCCCTAAAACCCCGCAATATAGGTCACCATGCCAGTCCCAGACAGGTCGGGGAAAGATAACGAACAAAAAACGGTTGTTTTCCCCCCATCGTGCCAGGCTGGGCCAGGTGTTTTCCACTGCGATGTTGGTTCTCAAAACTGGAAGCACCCAACAGAAATATCAGCATCTATAGATGATGACGCTCTAGATGGATCTAGACGTTGATATCTAGATGATGATATATGATATGTTGGTTTCTCTTTGGCTATGTGTCTGACAAATTATCACCATCTAGATGTGTTTCGAAACCTCTAGATGCACCAGGCATGGCCAGTGAATATGACAATCCACACCTGGCGGCGATTCTGTGAACTTGGAGTGGATACAGTGTACTAATTGTACTTTGTCCGCCATGAGATATCTTGAGTCAAGTATTCAGATGTGTGGAGCCCAAGACAAGGACGGACGTGGCACTGTTCCTGAACCAGCCCAATGTGATGTCCAGAACAGTGAATGGACATCCCAATATTTGTACATGTAAGAAATCGTCCAGTAATGTCCAATGCTTACTGGATTACATATGATTATATACATGTCCAATCTCATCCACTATGAAGTGACCCATCAGATCGCCGAATCTGCAGAGGCTTTGGCCAAGACAGAGCTGGGATTTGCTTTGGCGCAGGAAACCTTTCAAAGGACCCGGCTGAAACCGTCCTTTGATCCTTTGAGCTTAGAAGAGCGGTGGAATGGAATCGGACAATGCATCGAAAGCAACGCCCATGTGGAGTGGGTAGTGGTAGCCTAGCGGATAGGGGTCATTTGTGGTGCCGCTAGTATGATCGTACTGTTTGACTTGTTTATGTTCCATTATAGCACCCAGTTAAAGTCTAGCTGATTCGCTGCAAGTCCAGCCATGTTTCCTTGGTCCTGGACGGACAGGATCAGCGGCGACACATCACCGGAGGAGAGATGGGTGCAGTTGACATGGGACATGGGACATGCGCGAAACAGCACATCATTTGGATCATCTACTTTATACCAACCAAGATGATGATCCAAATGATGTGCCTCATGGATCACCACACCTGATGAGGCTCACCCCTTTGTTTGCTTTTTTTGTGCAGTGCCGAACTCGGACTGAATGGTGCCGAAAGATGCGGAAAGCAGTGCAGATTCAGAACAAAAGCAAGACTGAGAATCCGACCGGAAAACCACACTGAAAGTCCACATGTCAATGGTTGAACAAAGGATCGAACCAGAAGATGAACACTTAAATATATAAGAAGTAAGGCTTGCCCTTTGCAAACATGTGCCTGGCATCATGCCAATTCCATTTAGTCTGGCAAACATAACGTGGTACCTCAACCCAAAAGGTATTTGATACCAATGAGACATCTCATACTACATTGTTACTACATGATGCATGTGCCCAGGAACCAGTTGGGCAAGGATCCAAAGTCTTTGAAGTAGAGAACACCTTCATTCAGAACACCCTGGGTCTCCCCCGCAGACGCGCCGCGCCTGGAGGCGCATCAAAGATCGATGCCCAGCGCCACCGATTTCTGTGGACAACGCACAGTGGAGCCTTTGGTCGCAAGGGATGGTGGAGCCTATGGTCGAAAGGGACGTATTGAAACAGGGAGATTATCCCAAGGGGGGTTGATGGGGTTTTGGATGGTTTTGGTGGTCTAGTCTCCGAACCTTCCACGGGGTTCAGGACATGAGGAAGGACGCCTTAAAAAAGGGTCTGGATGTCGGTGCTTTGGCCAAGTTGGGGTGTTTTTTGTTACCTAAGTTTAGAGGCTCGTATACGTGCATACGCATGATACCACAATACATGACTGTAACAGCTTGAAGAACTCCACTGTTTTTCCGTTTGGGTGAAAACTAGCCCATCAAAATGATGCTTCCATCAGTGAATCGACTTGAGCAGACGGATGATCTGGGCCCGTGCCTGTCAGGTGTTCGACCTGGTACCTGACTCTGGTGATTAGGCACTAAACATGGTCTTTTGAGTTTTGACAACGGTTTGGATGTCCATGATGGTCCACGTTAATATGCACGTTGATGACGGTCCAGTTGAGATTGAGTCGGCATTTTCTGTGGTCCGGTGGGCGCCTTCGCCAATCACAGCGTTGGTTTGGTTGCTTCCAATGGTTCTCATTAACCCCATGTTGGTGTATCCAGGATTTTTGCCAGGCAGAAGTAGGACGGGCACAGAACGTAGATTCGTCTGGACCAAAGAAGAACAAATATAGGTTTGTTTGTGCATGTTGGGTTGCTTGCACGTGCGCGTGCATTGGCTACACCTGCTACAAATCACTGCAGTTGCTTGCGATGTTGTATTGCGCATCCTCTACTGCACAAATAAACTCAGAAGTCAATGAAACTCTTGGAAGTGATTGTGATGGTGGCAGTTGGGCAGATCTCAGACATCTCAGATCTTCATGGAACCAAATGAGCCATGGTGGGTAGATGTGGGTAATGACACAGTTTGACAGCCACTCCAGGATGGGCTTTGTGGCTACTTCCGGTCGAGCAGCGATGTGATGGAGGTCCATGGGAAGTTGCTCTCGCATCATTACAGCAGGACCTCCATTCCTGATGGGTGATCTTCTTGTCGGGTCAGAGGGGGGTTGGAAGTTGGAAGTTGAAATGGAGGGAAGGCTTGTTGGACGTTGGACCTGTTCTCATGCATGCGTAATTACTCATGGGTAAATTCGCTACAGTGGTCCATTTGGCAAAAGGCGATGCACAAAGTGTTTCTGAAGCCGCACTGCACTTTTGCTGCACTGCACTTTCTCCCTTGTGTATATTTTTGCTGTTCATGAATGTTAGTCCGGACTTTGGATGCGGATACCATGTCGCTCAGTCGTTGATTTATGTTGATTTCTTTTATCGGTGGAATTATGGTCGACCATTCTGGGTTGGAAACACCATGTTGATGAAAAATTGACTCATTGTTGCTCGAAAGATGCTGCTTGTTCTTTGGATCCTCAGGGCCTCAAAGTGGAACGTGGAACCCCACCCCCCAAAGACCCCCTTCGGCAGATCCGCACCCGTCCAAATGGGCGCGCGGAAGGACTGATTGGCATAAGCGGCACACAAGAATGAAAGCCGTTTTGGAGCGAAATCTTTGAGTGTCTCAGAATTGAGTGGCCAGGTGGTCAATCCCAAATTTTGATGTCTTCTGTTAAACATGAAAAGCCACATGTAGAAGATGTAGAAGTGACTCCAGAAATGTATGTATGCTGTATGCATGTTTTCGGGAAGCCCCTTGCAGTGAGCTGGTTAAGACCATCCTCATTCTGAGACAGATCGATTAGAACATGCGCTTCTCATGTGACGAAAGAAGACCAGTTCGTTGTGAGCTACAACATGCGCGTGCCACCGTTGTGAGTGGCAGGTCTCGAATGAGTTCTGTGCTTGGTATTGTTTTGTGATCAGTGGGACCACTGATTCATGTAGAGGATGCACATGCTTTGACAAGGTATGACAAGGTAGTTGCGAAGGCACAAGAATTAACTATATATATATATTATTTCCTTTGGAATCCAGATGATCAAGTTTGACACTGATTTTGATTGAAGTCAGGAACTGGAAGTTGCCGTCCTCCAAGGTGGTGGTTTCTATGCTCACGTCCTCCAGTAATTGGACGTTTTGAGGCATTCCCTAACAATCTTAAGGTCAATTGTTTGACACTGTGGTACATTGTCCAAAACCGGGTTTTGCTGGATAAACATCATGCATAATACGCCAATGTTGTTTGAAGGTCACAGTTTTTTCCAGCTACCCCAGCTACCCGCCCCTTTCGTCGAATGGATACGTCACCGGAGACGAACGTTTCACGGGCGCCGAGGTTTCGGGGCCTTGACGGTTGGGATGTCTCAAATGGCGACAATTCCCCAAAGGTCCAAGAAGAAGACTCGAGGACAGGATGATTGATGAAAAGTGATGTTGGAGACACAAGTTCAAAAGGCTTTTTGAGATATACCCAACTCCCGGCTTCCTGGTTCATGAATCAGAAGGTAAAGCATCGGGGATGGCTGGAATCATGTTTGACCCCTCATGTTGGTGGGAATGGGTACATGTATGTTGTTGTCATGTCAACCCTAGATTCATTAACTTCAATCGCAGTGAGCGAATGAGGCTTCATCAGCAGCATCAATTGCCCTAATTAGGTCGATTAAGTAGTATCCGAGCAAGTTCTTTCATGCATAAAACATGATATTGCACATATTATTACTTGATCCTGTCTGTCAGCCCAGAAGAACGGCTCTTTACAGAGAAGTCAACAGCATTGATGGAAGGATTAGTGGAAGATGTTAGACACCGCCAGGAAGCTGCGTGATAATGCTTTCGGTGGCTCAACGCCACTTTCAGAACGCCAGGGAGCGCCCCTTCACCGTGGAAACCACGGAGAGGTTCGACTCAAGTCCGGTGGTGCGTGCCGACACGTTGGTGACAAAAATGTGAGCGACCACTTCGACCGGTGCCTGCGGACCGTGGCCTGCGACTGCCCAGGGACTGACCTAAAGGCAGCGGGACCAGGCTGAGGCGGAGAAAACACATCCTGCGTCGGCTGAGGTTGCAGAACCACCTGAAGAATCGATCTCCTTTGAACCGCATCAACACGTGCGCCACCGCGCGATTCCCGCGGTTTCTCTCCCACGGAATGCGCCGCGCGCCGCGTTGTTTGGTTTCGGGCCAAAGGTGTAGTGTAGTGGAATGGAGGGATACCCCATTGCCGTGCTTATTGAACTGTCCACACCTGGTGTTCATGCGTTTTTATCATCGGAAGATAATATCAAAATTGGCATGGTGGCATGGTGTTAGTGAGGTTTCCTTGGTGCCTCAACAGCAAGATGTGTCATGAGGAGCCGGAGCTGTATGGCGTCGTGTTGTCCCTAAAGTCTGTGGAACCACCATGTATTTGCCATTTGGCTCAGAGTACAGTATATGTATCATGGATGTATCATGATTCAAATGCTTTCTTGGACAATCCCGGAGCCAAAGCATGTTCGCAAAAGAACTTTGTTGTCTTGCCGTGTTGCGCATCAAAAGCCTCCCAATCCACACATCATATTCCTTCGGCTGAACCGATCTAAAAAGGCCAGTAACAAAAACGACCTGCAAGCCATCTAATGAGGTTCCTTCCAGTGCCATGCCCTGTTGTAGCCGCAAGCATGTGCAGTTTTTGTTGGCGAGTCCTTGCCGGAAAAGGTGTATATTTTGACTATATGTTTTGACTACAGTCATAGATTCATGGTCGGATTTCCTTTTTTGGCCTGAGGTCTAAAAGCAAAGAAACGAGGTCGAAATGAAGCTGGCTTCTTTAAGCTTCTTGTATTCCAGTTGAATCTAAAGCGCCACATGAACCTATGACAACCCCACAACAGCGCCATTCGTTTCTTGTGCCTTGGGCCCATGGCCAGATGTGACCGGTGGCACTAAGCCACTGCGCCGAATCTGCCGAGATCTGCCAAGTGTGCCCCGAGTGGGTTCAGTTCATTGCCGACAACCATGCCGAAGGACAAGAAGAAGGACCTGATGTCAACACAGGCGGCAGACAAGGGACTCGGGACAAGGACTTCACACGGTGGCTTTGAAGTGGACCAGGAATCTTTGCGGCACCGGCCGCTATGGCTATGGGCGACTCGTTTTGTGATATGTTTGCTCTAAGCAAAGCTAAACTAGTGACCGTCAAGGGATTTGACGAGGTGTTTCTGTGGTTTGTTGTGCGGCCGGGGGCTGCTGGGCCAGAAAGGTTGACAGAGTTCATGGCAAGTTGTATGAGTAACAGTTTGATGAAACAGAACAGCAACATTCAAGAACAATAATACTGTAACTATGGCAATCAATGAAATCACCAAGCTTGCGGTTTGATGGAATGCATGGTCTCAACCGTAGACAAAACATGACAAAACTCCTTTCGCAGAAGCCCTGGCGGAGACATTTGCCGCCACTCAACCGATGTCTCCGCAAGGCCCGTCGCACAGGTTTAGTGCCCCGCCTGTTACTAGTAGCTTTTTTGTTCCTAGTAGTAAGGCCAGGAGCCCCGTTCGTAGCGTCCTTGCTCCGTTCGTAGCGATGCCCCTTGCTCCGAACGTAGCGTCCTCTTGCTCCCACCGGCCAGGTGTTGTTGGCAGCATCAGGTCTGGATGAATTCTACAAGTACTTTGACCAGGCGACCGTGACTGGTCAGTCGGGCCGTGAGACTGGTCTATCGAGTTACTGTATATCTTTGTCCTCCAACCGGATGTCCAGTCCGAAGGAGTTGGGGCCACGACATCGAAGATTTGCAAGAACTTGCAGATAATTCGGTGAATGTTCTGGCGCCTGAAGAATTTGCTTTGCTCTTTGGACTTGAGTCTCGTTTGTCTCCCGACACAAACCGCAGCTGCGAGGCTGGCCATTCGATGTTCGATGCCATGACACATGCGAGTGATTTGAAGGCGAGCGAAGTGTCAGGTTGTGCTGAGTGATGTGGAAGTTCCGTCATTTGGGTCATGACGGTATACATCAGTATGTACGTAGTTACTCAATCGTGGAAAGAAGCACCCCCAAAGCCATCCTTTTGTGAAATGTATCATAATATTTCAAACTAATCCAATGTGGCATGTAGCATTTTGTTGCATTGTGGCCCACTCTGGGGCCGGGGTCAATATAGAGTATACATATCATGTCACGAATTTGTTTTGGGGCCTGGAAACACCCAGTCACCCGGTCATTCAGGCATCCGCGATTAGTGAGTTGGAGTTTGACGTAAGGTCGAGCTCAGGCAGGCGAATTGATCTCACCCTGTATCTCATGTTCTTTTCTTGGGTTGCAGTTTCTCTCTTTTTTGGGGTGCCTTTTAGGATGCATTCTGAACCGGTTCTGCAAGCACAGTGTGTGTGTTCCACATCGATGCGGATCAAGCTCGCTTTCAGGTGGAGCAGATCTTGTTGGAAGTGGAAGCCCGCTGTGGTGTGACCTTCAACCCCGTCGTGCGGATCAAGCTCTGGAAGGCGAAACCAGCAACCTCGTCCGCTTCCGAAGCCAAAACACCAGGGCCTTGGAACGGCGGTAGGACACCCACCACGACAAGCTTGTTCTTTCCCAAGCCAAGGGATCCACTGCCACCTTCTCAGGTTCGGTACGACTGGATCCGACACTGGGCGCCTAACGTGTCGAACACATGCAGGTGATCCCGTTCAGAGGGTGGTAGTGGATCCGTAGGGCTTCATGGTGAGGCGGCGCCATTGACGATCATCCATCATCCAACGGGCGAATGATCGTTGTCTTTTTGGTGCACTGAAAGATTGCACTTGCCCGTTCTGAGCATTTGCTTGTCCAAGACATTTTGCACATCACACGTTCAAGACATGTTGAGCATCTCCAAGATCTGTTTTTCAATGTATTTTCTCGTGCAAGCAGTGCACCACATTCCAAACCCATTGTGCGTGACCCGACGAAATCCAAATCGGCACAGGCATTGAGATATCAATGGTTCCGAGGGCCAGGGAAAGGCGCGCGTCGGATTTCAACCAGGTGTTGTCGACAAATTCGAGATGCATGTTGCTTGTCTGCTTCACAGGGTGTCCACCTGGTGGTTTGGTTTGGGTGCCCTATTGATGATTTGTGACCATGAAAAACAACTTGAAAGTGCTAAGCTGCCAGGCGTTGCTACATGCATGTCATATGTTCTAAACATATACCATGCCATGCAGCTGCATGTCATTTTTGTCCATAGGTCGCCCTCCTTGCTCATATTTAATATGCATGAATATGCAGTCCCCCTCGTTCTCAGTTCTAGAATCCCAGTAGGTAACCACATCTTCGTTCGCAGCTGTTTAGCACCTCGTTGTCTTTGAACCGACAGCGCCAAGCGCTCGTCGCGCCTGGCGCTCGTCCGGTTACCGACAGGCTCCAGCTTCGTTGAGCGAGTAGATGTACAGCAGCTGTTTGGGACTTAGCCGTGTGCGATGGAGAAATCATGAGCTGAAGGAGAACTTCAGATGGGCCTGGGAGAAAGGCACTGGGGGAACATGTATGAACATGTGCCGGGCCAGAATGAGCTGAACAAATCTGACTTAGGTTCTGCCACTTCACTGATGTGGGTTGCTGGGATATAACCGGAGTTCAGCTGAGGCATTTGCCCCCCTTGGAGTGGCAAGAGCAGGATAGCAAGTTCAAGCATCTGGCCTCAAAAGCTGGTGGAAGCTCGCATGTCTCTTCAAGCGCAGATCTGTTTGTTCGATTGTGAATGTATCTAGCCATCTTTGTGAGAACAAGGTCGACCACTGAAAAGAAAATAGAGTTGCATATTCATCCTTGGACATCCTTGGCTTCATCTCAAGAAAGGCAAGGTGAGCGCATAGTTGTGTTCATACGTATCACATTTGTTTTTGTTGAATATTTTTGGGCAGTTTTGTGAACAATTCCATAACAATTCCTTCCTTCGAACCAGTCTTAGGTTAGTGCAGTAATCGAGTGCTCAACAGATGTAGAGTCCTTACATGCCTAGGATGTCACAGGGGTGACGGGTGACCCATAAATCACCTGGACAGCCCAGAAATCTGTTAATTTTGATCCAACCCGACTCATAGATCGCCTTTTACATCCTTTTGCTATTGGTTGGTTGGTTGGTTGGTTGGTTGGTTGGTTGGTTGGTAGAGGGGATGCCCCCCAAGTGTACAACCCATCCAATGGGTGAATGGTACCCAACTGACCCCTCTATTATTCCCAAAAGAACATCATTGACCTGACTGGTGGATGTCCTACTTCTCAATGCATGCGCATACATGGGCGTTTGGTGGATAGATCCTTGCAAGTGCGGGTCATGCAAGCCACTGCCTCGGACCATGGAGGTCTTGTAGGGTGTGCTTTCAGGGTCACGGCTCCTGTCGCAGGGACCACTTTGCCATTGTGGGACAAGCATTGAAGTGCTTGTCTCCCAGTGTGGAGGTAAGAGAAGATCGTGAAAACAACTCCACACTCCACACCTGAAAGATTGCAGGAAGAGAGTATGCATAAGACATCATAACTTTATTTCGCAAGCTTTGTTCCTTCCTGTTTTTGACTCCCAACAAATCAAATCTCTCAATACAAATGTATAGAACACGGAGTGTTCTGCGGAGCTGCGGGCTCAGAACTGGTATATACCTGAATTGATATTTTTTTTCTTACGTGAGACAAATTCATGGGTTAACCTGGTTCTTCAAAGTGACCTTTGAGATCCATTGAGCTGGAATTCAATTCTTAGAACCGAACATCACTTACAAACTGGTACAAAACAAATCAATTCAACTCAGCGTTTAGTGATAAACAAACCTTACAGTGTTTTTGACAGTATTTTCAGCCTCCACCGAGGTTCGGGGACCTGGAGTCGGACCGGCAGAGGCAGGTGGTCCGTCTCTGGGCCGAAAGCGACTGTTGCGGTGAAAGCGGGTCCAACAGCTTCCCACAAGCGCGGTGGGTGTCCAAAACGCGTGTGTGTTTGGTGACCGTTTGGTGTTTGAAACAAGACAAGGATGTTCTTTCTTGTGATTAAGGGGATGTGATGTTTCTTTTGGTGGGTTTTTGATTGATTCAGGGTTTTGATGTAGCGATTGTTTCTGTTGTCCCAGTGGATTGGTGGGAACTTATTAGCATATAGATTATAATAGATTATATCATTAGTGGTGATAGGGCTATTTGGGTGAGTTTGTTTGGTGAAAGCCCAGTGAGATGAACAAATGACGGCATATAGATCAAAGAGATGAGGGGAATATCTCATGCACCAATTGTACTTTGCATGCATAGAGAATTGAGACGACGAGTATCGGGAAAATGAAGACACGTTCACTGTTCCATATGCTGTAATTAGACGGTATATGCAAGGCAAGGTGCAGTCATCATGAAGTCAAAAGAGTTTCAAAGTTTGTTAACACTGCTGAAACTCTCATGTACGATCTATATTTAGCCATGTGTTGAATACAAGTCGTGCTATAGATGCTTCCAATGCACTTCATCGAGAGCTATTGCAGTTTTGTGGGAAAGCTGGTAATGGTACGTAGTTGTTCTTGAAAATCACAGCCTGTTTCATGGGCTGTACGATTGTGGAAATTGTGTTCAGGGTCCCCCCGACACCAAGCAAAATGTATGATATTCTATGAATACTGCATGATGAGGTAGACTTGGTGCAACCGCCCTTTTGCTTGTGTCCTTAGGGGCTGGCATCCAAGCTCTTGTGCCAATGATTGCTTGATATTGCTTGTTTCCTCAAGTTGGCCTGCCCATGAGACGAGAGATGAAATCCTGAGCTTCATGTCCCTTGCGTCAGACGATTGACACCAGTCCCTGAATATTTTCCCTTCACCAGTCCAACAGCTTTTCAGACCCTCAGCCTCTTCCTGAGGAAAGATCAAGCAATTGGCTCCTGGTGAGACCGGCCAATCATTGCAGACCTTCCAATTCGAGGCACGACCTCGGGTGCAGCATTGCGCTCCAAATGCCTGCAGGCATTTGAAGAGCTTCGAGTTTTGAAGAAACTGAGCATGCCTAGCATGACCCGGAGAGAATTCCTTTCTCCTGCTTAAGCTAAATGTAAGTATGTTCAGACTGGTTTTGATTGATGTGGGCTCCACGAAACATTCTCGAACTTGGACCGGCCAAAGCTGTGACTTCGGATGTGACCGGTCGCTGATTGGCCAAGGCCCTCAGCCTGAGCCATTTCGGCACGAATCGGTCGAATCCGCTCTTTGAGGTCTACACCCGCAGCCCAGATCTCATCTACGAATACCGGGATCTTGAACGATGTGTTCAGGACGTTGCGCCGACATGACATCCGATGATGATGTCCTTCCAATGCCTGAACCACTTAGACTCCACGATGTACCGTATCGGCATGTGATGTAGAACTGTAGAACGCTTCATTATACAGCATATATGTACCCTAGTTTGAGTAGTAAGCTGCCATTGGACCAGGCCAAACCACAGTCATTCCAGCCAAATGCTTGGAGGTAATCACCTTTTTTTTGTTTGTTGCAGCATTAAGACATGATGTTCTTGTGGACGGCGGTGGCAGGAATGGGAGCGCCGCAATCCCCGTTCCATGATCCAGGAGGACGGCCAAGGCCAAAGGATCTTGTTCAGTAGGCATCAGGAGAGTAGCCCCCAGCTTCAAAGGGGCTCATTTTCCAGAGAGTCTTAGCTGTGCGCCCAAACGTCCTATAGGAATGTTTGAGGGCGCATTGCAACATGTACAACAGAGAAGAAATTCACAGGGGTTTGGTAGCCTTGCATTGCATGTGTCGTAACCATGCCTGGTTCGGCTTTTCAGGACATGAGAGAAGAAGTGATGCGGATGCGTTTGAAAGGCTGGGTTCAAAGCGTGTGTGTGTGTTCCGTTTCTTGGCAGTTGGTTTAGCCATGTGCATCTTATTGATTTTACCGAGGACACAACTGTTTGCCTCAACCATGAAATGGATCTGAATATGATCAGACATTCCCGACTTACCCGACCTCTGTGGGCTTGCACATGCCAATCCTGCACAGGCGTAGTTGATTCGGCCAATGCCAGTATTGCGACTCTTGGATGCATGGACTGCAGCCGTTGAGCCTGGCTTTGAATGTTGTCTTTGGGGGTGTGTCTCGATGGCGCCCACACTGGCGCCCACACAACCATCTTGAGCAGTGGAAGCTTTGTCATCTGGTTCAAAGCTTTGTGCAAACTTGAAAGACTTCCCCAAAAGCTTAGCGGTCGGAACCTGAGGAACCAGACTGTTCTTTGTTGTGGTCGGGTCAGCGCTGGGTTCCGAGTCTTCTCCGTCGTTCGTCCGGTCAACTCGAGTCTTCTCAGGGTCCGGCGAGCACGGGCGGCGAAGCTCAAGAACTTCTCCTCGACCTTGATCGTCATGCAGCAGCTTGGAATGATCTGAAGATGACCATCCTCATCCATAGCACCGAGAGATTGCAGGTCTTGAGAGATTGCAGGTATTTGGGTGCTCCCATCTTGTCATGTCACCTACTCTGACTGGTTGTTTAGGAAAGGACTTAGTCCAAACAGTTTGCTGGAAAATTCAATGTTGATTGAATTCATGAAGCAACAGCGAGCTTGCTCGGCCTGAGGCCCAGCGTCACGTGGAACAATCTGACAGTCAAATGGAAACGTTGGTCAGTTAGGCAGAACGGAGAAACATCAGAACTAGAACGTTCTAAATTCTGAGTCTAAATGTTGCTGCTTCAAACCTGACTGGTGTTGGTCAAGCAGTTTGTTTGTCATGCGTTGGAACCAGATTTGTCGTTGTGCAGTGAGAACTGGAGAACCAGTCCAATGTGGTCAAATCTTTTTCTCAGGGTCAAGGTCACGGTCCTAAGCCAGCCAAACCAGAAAGCGACCGAGAAACATGACACACGAGCTACACAATATCCCCGTGGTTGCAACTCTCTGCTGACTCACGAGGCTTGTGATGTTTTCACTCTGCAGCTCAGCTCAAGAATTTGCGCATCATTCAGCGACAGGTTCGTCTCAGGAGCGGTTGTGAGAGATTGTCATGAGATGCTCACTGTATCTCAACAGGGTGTATGCGGGTGATACAACCACCCCATCCAACCAATCAGTGTTCTTATATTGTCGGGCAGGTGGCTTCTCAAGTCCTACCTATTCTGAAACGATCCGGTGCAGGTGGGTAGAGATGTCTCCTCGCACTGGTGGCGTTGTTCAGACCTACCAAGTATATTATGGAAAGATCATTGGGAGTGCTATTGGCGTTTTCATGCTTTTTCATCGCCAGCCAGCACGTCATGTTTCTCAACAGATTTGGGTGGATCTTCATGGTGGAAGAACATGCACAAAGTGCATACCAACTTCCTTGGCGTGAAATCACTACAGCTGTAGACCCTTGGCCTGTTTTGAGGTCCGTCTAATTGTTGCCACCAGAGATGTTCATCCACCCTTTCGAACTCCAACTGCCCGGCCATCCTACGCGTCGACTCGGGCGGTTTGGACCGAGGTATGTTGATGCTCTTGACAGCCTTCACTTCATTGAACAACACACCACCTCAGAGCCTTGGGTCTTGCAATATGAGGGGCAAGGTGAAGGACCACCGTGGGGTCAAGGGGCAGTGTGAAGCCCTGCTGTTTTTGATCTCAATCACAGGTGTTTCGGGGTGGCCCTGGAAGAATGAGGTGCAGTTTCTTTGAGCCATGCGGCATGTCAATTGCGTGAATATGCGTCCGGCCTTTTCGATTCGATGCTTCTTTGCATCCGACTTAACTTCAATTTGATCAATGCATCCAAGGCTCATGATGGTGTTCTTTCTTTCTAGCATCTTGGCAGCAGCTGAAAAATGCTGAGATCATTACCTTTGACCCATTCTCCAATCGGCTCGTGGCTGTCGTGCGCGGACAGCGCGCACTTTGGGCATGTGGTGTCCAAGGTAAACAATTCCTGTCTGCGATGGCAACTTGGCAAGAGATTGCATCGAGTTGAAGAAACTAATCCTGAAAACCGCTTCAGATTTAGCTTGCTGGCGTACTCGGTTCTTCCTTAAGGAGGGAACATAAAGGCTTTGGATCCCATATCCTGGATGTTTTTTTGGAGAACTCCACGACAACTACGCACCATGAATGGGAGTATTTGATGCTCAGGACATAAAGATACATAATATACCTGACCAAAGGTTTTGCAACTGAAGTCGAACAAAGCCTGAGCGAACCGACAAGCCCCAACATGCAGGTCGACTAGGATGTTGCTAAAAAATCCAGAAGACTCTTTGACCGAAGAACAGCAAATCAGATCAAAACAGGCAAAAACAAAATCATATAAAATCATGTTCAGTGCTGTTCTTCTCTTTGCTTTTGGACCCGATCAATTCCATCCCGGGTCGTATCCATATTGCAGGGTGTTTGACAATGGGTCGATTGCGTTCTTCGCCCGGTCCTGGGTCGATCCATCGTCAATCAGGTGTTTTTCACAGCCTCCATCGTCGCTGGGGCGGTCTCGGAGCGTGCCAAGCAAGATCCTTTGATCCGAGAGCTGAAAAAGACGGTGGCTCGGCTGACCATCACTTGGGAGGGGTGTGACCAGTCACTCTGACATGAAAGCAGGATGCTTTGAGGCTTGGTTGGAGGTGTGAACACCACGGAAAACATGAAGATGTATGAAACCTTAAACCTGTGAGAAGAGTGATTTATATATATATATGTAGTTGACGTGAAATACACGATAGTTCTATATTAGTAGGATATACCCTACATCGTCCAAAAGGAAAAACAAACCGATCCACCTGCTGTGACAGAGGTCCTGAGCTGTGAGCGGCTCATCGAGCGGATCAGCCACTTGGGTCCCATCAGGAGGTTGATCCGAAGAAGCAAAATCCCTTGGGCCGGGACGTCCGTTTGGGCGGGACGTCCGAGGTCAGATCCATGTCCATGCGGATTTGGGTGGTGGATCGAAGGATGCTTTAAGTGGTGAAGGCAAAAGAAGGAAGTGGCGAAACCTCAGAACTTTCAGAGGTTCAATAAGTCCAAGGGTGTGGGATGGTGTGGGCTCATCTTGTGATGTGTGCCAGGTGCGCTTCTAGTGACACTCGATTCAGATTTAGTGACCGATCTCATGATTGTTTCATTTCCCCAAAAACATCCCAGTGACTACATGAAAAGGCTCGAGAATGCTAGGAGAGAGATTTGACAAACATAGTAACATACTACAGAATTTCACACACCATAAGCCTTTCAGGATATGAGCACATTAACCTTCCCGGGAAACAGACACATTTTGTAAAGCTGCCCCCCGACTTCGCTCTTCTCCCCATTGCGCTGCTTCTTTTGAGGCGATTTCCGCATCGCAACGGAAGAGCTCCGCTTGCAAAAAAATGAGGCAGTCGGATGCCAGATGAGTGGCAGAGGAATGTGTGGCAGGTCAGCTCCCCCTTGCTGACCTGTCCTGCGACGCAGGGGTTTCAGCTGTTGACTTCCCTGCAGCTACCCATCATGACAAGAATAACCCTTGGAAGACCAGCAGTTCCAACGGGGTGCCTATTGGAGGGTAGAGTGCACGTTATCCACACACTCATAACCAAAAAGCACCCCTTTGGAACTGCTTGTTTGTTTTTCATTTGTTTGCTGATCCTTGGAATCCTTGTGGCGCTAAGCCAACAGTTGAACAAATGCCAGGTCCAATCAGGGGACCGGGGCCCCGCCAATGAGACTCCAGCATGGGCCACTTGTTGGTCCTTGAACAATTAGTGAAGTGGCTTGCAAACAACTTGATCCTAACCCACTTATGAAGTGTTCTTCAAAGTCTTAGCGAACGGAAAAGGCCTGACCACTTTGACACCGAAACGGACCCACCAAACACCTGTTGTTAAAGGTAAGCATAGATCAACAACTCAGGGCAAATGGACAAATATCCAGAACAAGAGCCTACTCTGACTCTTGAATGTTCCTAGATTTGAATCTCGGAGGTAAAGGGGCTTTCAGGTTCCGAGAAGCTGTCAGTGGTGTTTTTCCCCCTACGGTGCATGTTGAATGGTATCTCCGAAATACAACTTTATTAATACTGCTTGCTGTCAGGAGAGGATGCTTCAGATGCTTCAGGTGTTTGAAAACTAGCGATGTGTGCTCTTCCAGGCTCGAAAGAAAGGCGTGCCAGTTGGACTGAACCTGAACGTCTCGCAAGAGACGCATGGCAGCAGTCAGAGGGAAGTGTTCAGTTGCTCGCTATTAAAGCAAAATGCATGTGAGTACCAAAGGGCCAGGATGCGGGTGAGAAGATGGTTGTTTCTTTGTTTTATTGACGTGTAGGCAGGTGTGTTGGGGATCATAACTTATTACTTGTTTGTTTCTGAGATGCAAGCAACAAGAACGACCTAGCTTTACATTTTCCACGCCTGAATTTGTAAGGTTTTGTTTGTAAAGCACCTGCCATTTTGCCTTTGATGCAAATCTGACTTGACATGCATGTTTGTCAAAGCAACCACAGGGTCTTGATCTAGAGACCCCCTTCATGGGATATTTGAGGAAGTGGAGCTCTATGAACTCTACCCCTATTTATCCTCTCTCTTTGTTGTTGACTCTGACTCTGACTCTCTCTCTCTCTCCCATGATCCTGGGCCCCTACCTCACTCTTTGAATCATTATTGAACTCTGCAGGGGCCGCCAGGAGGAGGATGACTTCGATGACGGAAACCATGTAGCTCGCGGCAAGGGGCGCTGGGCGCACGGGCGTTGTGTTTCCCAGAGGATGAATCCAGTGTTCCTTGCCGGTGGACCCATAGAAATACATTAATGAGTCGATATGATTCATATTATCATAACTGATTTAAGAATGGCCATACTGGTAGAATCCATTAATAGAAGTATGGCTCTCCAACGGAGTTGTCTGGTTGGAGGATTCTTTGCTTATTGCAATTGAAACTGCATTTGTTTTGTTCAAAGGGAAAAGACAAATCAAGCTTGCCATGCCATTATTTACATAAAAACAGAGATATGTATCACATGTGTTGCAAGGCGCAAGCCACCATTCAGATCACATGTGAAATCTATATAAAATTGAAAAACAGACCCTGTCAGATCAACGCATGTGTCCAAATTCTGTGTGTGTGCCCATGTTTGTCGAAGAGACCCTCAACTGCGACTTTTCCTGGTAGCAAAAGGCCTTAACAATGGCCTCCACCATAGTAGCGATGGGCTTCACCCTAGTAGCTTCTTGTTACGGGTGCTGCCGAGGTACGACAACGTGGCCGAAAGATGCTTGGATGTTTAGGGCTGATTGAGGGCGTCGCGAGGGCCGAGACAAAGCCAAGGTCACAAACTACAGTAAGAAGGTTGAGGGTTCATTGAACATCTCCCAGACACTCCATGTAATGATATGCAAATGATAGAATAAGATCGGCAAATTATATGCCAACATTGGCCCCTGATCCCTCCAATATAGCATACCGTATCATACCGTGAATTGGTAAGCAAACCGATGAAGGCGTACACTTTCAGGATAAACCGATTTTTGTCAACCACATGCATGCGGCGAGTCCTTTCTTGCATTTGTGGGCCTTAATGCTTCTCGCAAAAACTTCAGCTCGAGATTAGGGCAGTAGAGCTGTGGGGTTGAATCATCTACAAGAAAAGCTGCATGAGGTTGTCGAAGGTATTGTGTGTTTAGCCCACATTGATTTAAGATCATATGGTCAGTCTTGTTTGGCAGGTGTTGACTCCGTCTCCTTAGACTCGACAGGGATGGGCATCCGAGGGACAATATGTCTCGGCGGGCCAGGACAGACCTCAAAAAGGGAGCAAGCATGGAAGTAGAAAATGGCCTCTTGGATGACCATGTTCCTCTACAAAAAGGTAGTGAACTTCACTTCCATGATCACTTCAGGGAGTACTACTTCTATCAGACGACGTCGTTTGGATCGGTTTCCCTCCAGTGAAGATGCAAAAAGGATCTCCTGTTGGGAGTGGTTTTGTCCGAACCACTTCAACATCTCAACGACTTTCGGGGAGTTGGTGTATCCGGTGGCCGTCGGAAACAGCATTTGGGACCAGAGACTGCGATGCTTAGGAAGAAGAAGAAGGAGAAGGATGCAGCCCTAGAACTTTGGGCTCCTGACGCATCTTGGCGTAGTGATTGGCTAGGTCAACAGCCCAAACGCATCATGTGGCGTAGTACTGTTTTGGACAGCAGGTCAGGAGGTGCCAAGTCTGCTCCGTTCTCCATTTCGGGGTCCAAAGAATCGCATCAGCTTGGGACTGGGACTGGCACGACGCGACCCACGCGACCGGGGAGTCTGAGACGGCGCACCCATTCTTTTGAAGCCACGCATGAGGCATGAGGCATGTAAATCTGCGACGGTGGAGTCCAGCGACGGTGTGTGAGTGACCAAGTGGACCATCTTCAACTGCCCCATGAGTCCTGTGGGCTGCCCAGGAATTAGCGTCCTTGCTCCGTTCGTAGCGATGGCCTCCACCGAAAGGAGGTGCTTCGTTGGTGTTTGGGAGTTCTTTCGGACTTTAAAGATTGAAGCCTTGGAACAGCCAGCTCTGCATGTGAAGCAGGCTTCTAGGATCCACAGCTTGGATTCTCATTTCACATCCTCGCTCCTTGGCCCATGGGATCAGTAAAGAAGATCCCCTAACATCCCCTAACTACAAATTATTCAGAAGAGGTTTGTTCAACTTTGCTGTGTAAAGACTCTAGAATGCACAAAGAATTATATATATAGGTGACATTTGGACTGAATTCGATTTCCCCGATCAATTGACGAAATCATTGTCGATCAGATTTCCCTGCGGACTTGGCTGAATTTGGATTGAAAGTAAAACCAAGTAGAAAGATGTCCAGCTCACCCACCATGGATGTCAGCTTCGTGGATACTTGGGAGTTCGGGAGCGGTACAAAGCCGCACATCTTTTCAGAATCGCACGGACCGAGGCTGGCAAGTTGGATGGTGCACAGCTCAGTTGAAACCACTGAGTTTTGGCCGAGACGACCAGCAAGGTGGAACACAAGCAGATTCAGACCGCGGAGGGTATTTGTAGACTGCATCCAAAAAAGTGCAGACATATACACTATGACCGTTCGGTTATGTTCAACACACCTCATGTCCCCACATCCTGTGGGATGTGTTGGACCCAGTTGTTCTATTTTTAGTGGGGCCATGGGTTTGTTGATTGAGTTTGTCAAATGTTCTTTTTTGTGATGATTTGAGGCTGAGCAAGCTTCCATGTAAAGCTGCTTAAATAGAGCTGATCAGCAGGGGGCAGGGAGTGATGCATTCTTGGATCTCAGATTCAGTGTTCATTTCTTGGGTGGTGTGTGGCTTCTTGCTTGGGACATGGGTCATACCACCAGTCATCAACATCTGACTTGCAGATTGTCACCATCAGGTAGGAGTGGACTCTGATATGTTCTTTACTCTCAACAGAACATCACACTATTGGGATGGCAAGGGTTGAGCATCCGCAGATACGGATACGTTTATTTAAGAGGATACTTCGCTTGTGTTGATGAGCGACTGCTTGCTTTTGACAGATGTTGTCCGGCATCCAACCAAAATGATGTTCTAGGTCAAGAGATCCAGATGATGCAGAAGCAGCTTGCGCATAGCTTCAGGCGTTTGCCTGTCCACGCCTGAGGAAATATGGACGAGCGACGTTCGGAAGGTGTATATGAGACCATGGACCATACCCAGACAGTGGATAAGATTTAGCTTGGAATTGGTTTCCCCACTAAGGTTAACCGCTATTTCCATGGAAACTTGAAACTGAGGGTGTCAGATACCCAATGTCCTGATGGTGTTGAGTTCATCCCTGTTTGGTCTTCAGAGTACCAAACCTGTTGCCATGTCATCCCGTTGAACTGGAGCTCACAACGAGCTCCAAACATCCGACCCACCCTCGTCTCGGCCCTCCCTGAGAGTTCACATGGATTTTCTCACCAAAATCACACACCGGTTCGTATGAGATCCCAGTTGATGAGGTCCCCGTCTTCGACTTCGGTTCTGAGGACCGTCTTTCGAAGCACCGACTTGGTCACCTCTGGGGACGAGACTCCGTACGTCGCCGACGGTCGCGTCGCCCGGAGTCACCGGCTGGGCTCACCCTGAGGCGCCGGGTGGGGAGTTCCAGCGTCAGGGCGGCGACCGGATGCGCAGCTTCCACCGCGCGGAGACCCAGGGGCTCTTTTCTTGTTTCGTCGCAAAGAGCCACCTGCAAGAGAAAACGGGTAAAAACAAATCAATGTAGTAAAAAGAAACAAAAACCATAAAATTGATGATGCAATTTCGTGTTCTTTTTGTTTGGTTGCCCTGTGTGGTTGATTTGAGAATAGAATTCAAAAAGGAATCGAGCCAGCCTTATTGATGAGTGGCCGGCCATCATGCTTGAGTTTTAAACATTTTAAACACATTTTGCAGTTCAGCGGAGAATCCACCTCACATTTGAGTTAATACTTTGGTGGTTCAGAGTTTGTCCTTGCCCCGTCCCTCCCAAACAAAACTTCCACATCCACACATTGTTGGATAGCAAAGCACAACCTGTATGAATCCATCGGATCAGATCCCTCGTCTCTTTCCATTGGATCTCTACGATGCCCTTGTCTCCAACGATCATGCGAGTGGGTGTTACTTCGCACCAAGGGGGGGGTGTTCCGTTTCAGTGTAACTCCACTGTCCGGGGCATGCGTCCAACCCTGGGGGTTGGCTTTCCGGCAGCGACCGCCAGAAAGCCTGGGCGGCGTGGCGGAAGATGAGATGTGTGTGCAGATCACCAGCAAGCAGCAGCAGAAACGGCAGGCAGATGGGCGTGGGGTAGCAGGGAGGTCTTCCCACCAAAAAAGAGGCCAAAGAAAAACGGAACAAAATGAACTCACCTATATGGCATATTTGCTTGTTTTGCTTAATTGCATTGATCCATACATGGAGTTTTTGGGATTTCCCAGAGCCCAAGAATGAAATGAGCTCCTTGTGGCGGACGCCTTGCGAGGCCTATGTGGAGAAGCTCAAGGAACAAGCTCTGGCAAAAATGCCCAAGAATCCACCGCCACCTGCGTTGGCGATGAATGCTGCCAATAGGGAGAGACGGGTGGGTGAGGGGCTTGGGTGGGAGAGTGGAACGTGGCGGAGATTCACCCAGATTGACAAGAATCCCAAAGCCGCTGGAACATGAAGAAGCAAGTTCTGAGGGTCTGGTTTCAGGGTCTAATCTATGTGGGTTTTGCGAGATACACGCTAGGAGCTCAGGGTCGTGGTCAGCTACAGTTCTGTGTGCAGGGTGGTTTACTTGAAATTACATCTGGTGATCAGATGCGAGGCAGTGTGATTATGCTAAAGAGAAGACAACCGACTTCAGCCAAATGTACATCAACGACTATAATTAGCCAGAACATATGCATGAAATACGAAAGCCAGCAAAAGCCCAACATCATGAGGAAAGCTAAAACACTCCCTGGAACTAACATGGAAGTGGAGTGAACGCCCCCTGGAACCGGTCTTCGGATGGTGGGCGACAGAGCGCAGGACCCGGGTGGTCGACAGCTGGCTGTGCCGGGCCAGGCGCGCCCTCCCTGATCTGGGTGTTAGAAGGTGAAGTCTCTGTTTTGGGTGGGAGGAATGTTTGTTTGGGGACTGAATGACTCTTGTTGTTGTTGTTGTTGTTGTTGTTGTTGTTGTTGTTGTTGTTGTTGTTGTTGTTGTTGTTGTTGTTGTTTTATTTTTGATCATAAGCATCGGATGACGATGTCAGCCAGGATTCAAAACCTGTATCATGTCTCAGTCTTGTGAGTTTCAGGGCGATCTTGATCAAGAACCAACGTAGTCTTAAGGGAAGATATTTGAGGAAGTAGGGCGAGGGGTCACTGACTGATCGCCAAATCTGCTCAGCAACAATAAACAATAATAACTGTAATTATTTGTCCTATAACGCCTGGGTCTGTGAATTGAATTGAACTCTGTCCAACCAAACAGCTTCAGGATGGAGTCTTCATGGGGAGTTGCATCGACATACATCATCAATCATCAATCGCCAGTCCTTCATTATCCACAAACCGCCCACCTAGTACGGCCAAACCAGTGCCACCAGCGGTCACCTGTACGACTAGGGCTCCAAAGTCGTGAGCCGTCGGATGCTGCGCGCCCAGGGCCCAGCCGCCTCGACGTTGGGGCGGCCGACGTTGCCGCAGCTGCCCTTGGTGCCGCCGCCGCCGCCCGCGAAGGTCACGAGGGGCTTCCGTGACATGGCGAAAGGGGAGGTGATCAGCAGAGGTGGGAGCCGGAGGGGAGGACCTTGTTGATTGCGCACAAAGTGGGCACAAATGGAGGAAGGTTCAATTGGAGCCGAATCACCACGTTCCAAATTCTGGAATTCCCATCCTCCTGTGGTGCTTTTGCTTGCGACCAGAGATGAGAGAATGAGAGAACCCTACAAGAAGAATCAGTAAAGATCTACTGCACCTTGTTATTCTGATGCTACCTATGGCAGACTGCTTCTTTGATTTATATTCAAGAGGTCATGGACCACCCAACCTGCCAGACCGAGGCCGAATGGGGTTTCAGCCTCCCAGCGTGGCGACCACGGAGAACCAACCCTTGCTCGGAGGCACCGGTGGAAGGTGGTTCCGCGTACTGGTGCTGGAATCCATAGGAATCTGCAGAATCCCACCACAAACCAACGTGAAGGTGCTGGTTCCGGTGTGGATCGCAACCTGGACTCTCACAGCCAGGTCGCTATGTCATCGGACATCGTGTTCACCCCCTTTGTGTTGGTGGTTTGCCTCTTACTCGGTGGGGAGTGCCATGATCCACAGCTGTGTGGGGAAGCGCCGGTATGGTCCTGTGGGACGCCCGGGTTCAAAGAGGCAGACAGGTCACCAGGCAGAGGGGGCGGGCCATTACCCGTCAAATCCCGCACAAACAAGAAAATAGGGCAGGTTTGAGGACTAGTTATGTTCTATGTATGATACACCTGGAAGATGTTCCGCACTGTTGGACCAAAAGGTTACCAATGCCCTATCCAGAAAAGAATGCACCCTGATGCTTCTTGCTCGCCACTCTGCAGGAACCTCTTCAAGCATGGGCCAGGTGCAGAACCCTGTGGGAGGTTGATCTCCTCTCGGTCCTCGGACGATCGGTGTCCGAGGAGTTTCGGGCGATGCACACAGCATGTTCGACCGAGTTCCACGAGTGGAACACGCAGCAGGAAACACTGAAGTGAACTTCGCTGAACTTGGTATATAGGTCAGTTCGACCAGAAAGAGCAATTAATGAAAAGGCTAAGACAAAGACCAATATCACATGTTCAATGACGGGTCTTTATACTCACTGTCATCATGGGACACATGATGGGTCCCACCCCAACATTACCGTTCTGAAGGATTGACGACCCCGTCTTCCGATATTGATATTTATACAATTCCGTACTTCCCCTGCCCCCCAGGCCAAATTGGCCAACCTCCCTCAGATCTCCTGGAGATTTGTCATCTCCACGTGTTCCAATACACCCAAGATCATAACATCACAACTGCTCGTAGGTCTTCAGCTCCCTCAACCTGCCAGGCCTCCCGCGCTTCGCGCGGCTCTGGAGGAGCCTCTAGCTCCGCGGCCGCCTCCGGGTCCGGCTCGGCCGCGGCGGCCGCGGCGGCAGCGTCGCCCTACGTGCCGCTCCACAGCGACCGGAAAGCTCCGAGGAGGGCAGTGGCCGAGCATTTCTGTGATGCTTTTTCGGAGGTCTTGAGTGGAAATGGAGACTGATACCTGGAGTCCCAAAATATCTCGCGAAAGGTGTGACAGTACCTGTTTTTGTGGGAAATAACGGCCCATGTTCTTGATTTTCCAGGGTACTTTGGAGGGTTCAGGTCGATGTTTGTAGTTTGTTGTGGATTCTGCCTGGGAGTCAACATGACACCACTTTGCTTGGGGCCAAGTGTTTGGACCCATCGAAGAGGGAGCTTTGTGATGTTGATGGAGCACCAGGGAATGCCCGGACATCGGAGGTCAAACGGGGTCACCGCCCTCCAGGGTCGCCTTGATAAAGATGCAGTTGACAAATTAAGGGCATACAGCACAGCCAAGACATGTTGGGAGAAAGATGGTCCTTGATGTTTCCCTGATGGCCCATTTCTATGAACAGGTGTCCTCACGCTTGAAAACTTCCTGTGTGCAGGATATACCCTGAGCTGCATCGCGCTGCATCGTGTCCACTGGGATTGGCGCAAGTCTGGGTGCACTGTGAGGGTCATAATGCATACACAAGCACGTCGCTTGTCCTCACTCATCGATAGTTTGGTTTGCTAGGCCCAGGCTGCTGACCAAACACAGAAATAGCGATTTAGTAATGTACATAATCAAAGCAATCTTATGCAGATCCTGTTTGGGATTTGCAGGTTTCACCTGGTGCACGGAGTGTGCAATGAAGCACAGCTCTCGAGTGCAAAAGTGATGGTGATGGAACGTGCCTTCATTGCGTCAGATTTATAGCATCGATGGTGATGGCGTTTGCCTTTGGAGCTATACAAGTTCTCTCCATTTCTTCCTGCATCATGGTGCTTTTTGCAACTAGGAATGACACAAGGCTTGGACTCCCCCTTCAAAGGCACCCAGATCGTTTTGGGGCCAAGATAGCTCTCCGGAGTGGACTCTACATACTGCATCGCTCGTTCTCACTCTATCACTCTATTTTGTTGGGAAAAGGGAAGGGATCATTGGACGAAATCATTGGACATCAAGCGCTGGAACCAGAAAACACCCCAGCGCTGCTCGGGCCTGGTCCGAGCTGGCCAGGCAAGAGATCCGCTTGGAAGCCGAGATGAAGCTGCAGGAGGCGGAGCCGTCAGCGTTGATTGGTCGACTTGGCTCCGGAATGGCTTGGTGGAGATGGGCTGGATGGAGATGTTGGGAGCAGGGAGAAGGGAGCAAGTTGGATTACTGGGTGGGTCAATGAGTCGGCGGGTGGGTTTGTGGCCGGATGGCTGGTTGCTAGGTTTTTACAGTTCACAGTCGTAGAACATGCGGGGTTCTTAGACATATGATGCAAACATGCATTCCATTGCCTAATGACCACATTGGAGACCCTGTACACATACTGCCTTGGTGTACCGGCCTTTTGCGTTCATCTTTTTTGTTGTGAGTTGCATGGCAGATGTGAGTATGCATCAAAGCCAAAGCAATTGTGCTGATGCCACGCTTGGAAGGTTAGCGAGTCCGATTCTTGCAGTATAAGAGCCTCAAACTAATCCGGCATTCCTATACATTCCCCGCATCCCAAAGGTAAGAGCCGTTCAGATTGTCGGGTCACATGAAATATTGAAATATGCAGAAGAGAACTCTACCTCTATCCACTGTTTCCATAAGAGTGGAAATGGAGAAACACCATTGAAAGCACTCTCCACTTCCACGTTTGTTGGAGGTTGGCATGGGCCCAGGAGCTGTTTCTGGTTCCAGCGACCTGTTCTCTTCAGGATTATGACAAGCTCACAGAGTGATGCGTCATGTTTTCTGATGTTGGCTTTCGTAAAAAGTCTGTGTACTCGGCCTAGGGCCCCTTTTGCTGGGACCCGCAGCAGAAGACTGATTGCACTTATGTACCCTTTGGAATCGGTGCCACAATTTTAACATGTTCAAGTTTAAGTTTCAGTTCAGTGCTTCGCTTTGAACTTGTCCCAATTGCTTCTTAGTAATCATTGGTGAATCTCTAGCTAGCCATCCTTCTTGGGGGAGTTAGTCTCTTGAAGTATGATTGATGACGTTGGAAAGATGAGGTCAACTTGATGCTCCGAATGCGGCACCCTCGACGCCTTGAGAGGCCCATTTGGATGGTGCAGAGAAGAGCCGGGCGCCCTTGTCGAGTCGCGTTGAACCAGGCAGTGGTGGTGCTCTGGGCTTTTGCCAGACCTGTGAAGAAGGACTATCTGGACTTTCCGATGGATGATCATTGGATCTCAGTGAGAATGGTGGGTATCCTAAATAAGCAGAACCAACAAACCCAGGGCCCTAGAGAACAAGAAGGGCACGCCCGGCTCTCCTCCTTTCTAAACTGTTTCTGTGCCAGGTGCCAGGCATGGTTGGGGTTTAGTTTTTACTTTATAGTCGTCTATAGTACTTCCCTTATGCCTTATGCAGAGTTGATCTCATTCCAGGGCCGTTGGAGACATTCATTCTGTTGGAAAGATTAAAAAATAGAACAGGAATTGAACAGGACAGTGTCACAAGCAAAGCAGAGAAGTTGCAGGGTAGAGTTGCTAAGTTGGAGAAAGAGGTTGAAATCCGCAACAAGAGAACGCAGGCTGAAGAATTGTATGCACTGCGGGAATCAGAGAGCTTGAAGAATCCTTGTGTTGATACCCTGTACCTGGATCCAGAGTCAGATCGTAGAAAGTATCACTCTTGACACAAGTGGTGGTTCAGTCCAAACCATCCTTGGACGCATGAGGGCTCCTACGGCCAGCATAGCCACAGTAGAACCGAAGTGTTCTATGTGCAAGAAGGCGAACTGGTCATGATCGTCGATGGTAAGTGGAACAAGGCCCTTCCAGGTGAAAAGTGTTGCCTGCTGGGGCTACACATGAAATACCAGAGGGTGCCCCATGGGTTCGAAGTGCGATCCTGGGGGGGTCGGTTGAATAGAATTCGACTTGCGGTATTCTGGTAGGGTATCCGCAAATGCAATTGCAGAACACCAACATGTCATTTTCCAAGTGTGGATGAGACGTTCATGCTTGAAGCGTGAATGAGCAGACACACGATTGCAGAGCGGCTGATTAACTATGACAAATCCAAAAAGGTCCAAAAAGGCTTGTTTTGCTGATAGTTTGCTCAGACGATCTCCGATCTCAAATTATAGTACAGTAAAGTATATAAATTAAACACAATCCCATCCATGCTATTAGTATGAAGGTGTTCGGCGATTGAAGGGCTTGAGAAGTCATCATCGTTTATTGTTGAAAATCGCGAGCTGATGCCACGATCAGAAGGAAACGATGTCACTGTCACGATGTCTCTAAGTGTCCCACAGGCGTATCGGGAACTCTCACCTACTTACTTGCCAGCTATTCTGACGTGTTCAGTGACATTCAGTGACTATCGAAAATAAAATATATCAGTGCACGAACTATAATGTTACATTACACTGTGCCTCATGTTTCTGCTCTCACATACCATGAAGGGTCACAAATGAGCCACATGACGCAAAATAACACATTCATAAACATTCTATTTGGTCGGTAAATTTATGTTGTTCTCTGAAGGACTGGGGTTGCTAAGCAAGAGCATATCATATCCTCGAAAGAAACGGGGGAAGCCAACCAGAAGGAAAGAAATGCCTCTGCCTCGGAGGGGAAGAAGACATATGTAACGGTCAAGGCAAAAGTAAAACAGGTAGCAAGGGATGAAAAAGTACAGTCTCATTGTGAGCAGACTGTCCGCAACTCCGCCACGAGTGCATTTGTCCACGTACATGACAGCAAAGGAGGTGAACCTTCAAACCCCACTTGCACCCGTTGGCCTTCCTTAAGGTCAAGAGGATCTACAATCTGTTGAAGCGCCAAGGGAGGACACGACGTCTTGAAGGCGGGAAGGAATGTCTTGCAGAGTTTCAGAGGATGTCTTGCTGTGGTTGATGGACCAGACATATCAAAAGGATTGTTTTCGTTTACATGTCAAAAGACGGAAAAAAGGCTAGAAGATGACTTGGTGTCTTGTGACAAGACCCCTGGACCCGCAGATGCTTTGGACGATGTTCTTGGATTGGATGGGGTTGAGGTCGTCCCCATACCCGTCCCTGTCCAGCTGTCAGCGCCAGCCAGGCCAGCAAGATGCGGGTCTGAGCGTGGCATCGAAATCCCAGGTGCACGCACTGTCGTCGTGAAATCACCGAAGGAGTGCTTTGGTCCTTGGCGTTTTCGGGTGAAGCGACCCACACAAGGGTCCAAGATTGAAGGGTTCCAGGGCTTTGGGTGCGGGGACATAATATGCCTAGAGGTTGAAAAATTATGAAACATTCATGTTTGATGAGAACCCACATTGATTGATGTATGTGTAGGTTATTACACGTATATGCTGGTAGAGGTAGCTTGACCACAACATTTAAGATGTGAATCATATGTGTTCATGGTTTTGAACAATGACTCTTTCTTTGACCCTTTCAGAAACTGTTATGTTATGACCCTTTCATGTTTCACGACTGTTATGGTTTTGTTTGTTTTTCTTCGACCCTTCCAGAAACATCCTGGGGTGAGTGGACATGGGACGAGCGGCGCGGTGAAACACGTTCACGGAAAGATGGGTGACCCTTGGACCCCACCTGGGAGATCAGATGAATGAAGCGTCCAAGAATGGCCCACGAAGCGTCCTGGGTGGTCCGGGTCATTGGCGTTTGAACCTTAAAAAAGCACATTGAAGTGCAATTAGATTCAGAAGAGAGAGGATGTTGATGTTGTTGATGTTGTATGGTGATCGGAGGTTCTGTGGCCAGACAGTCTTTGGCTCGGATCGCAGACGCGGAGCTTTGTCCATGGCTTCAGCCAAGTGCCAATTTGTCCTTGGCATCATCCTAGTGGTCTTTCTGGGCACGTGGCACGTGTCTTCAGCAGCGGAGGGGACAGCAGAGGTTTTGACACCCAGGGACAACCTTCAAATCGCCAATGCTGAGAAGACGTGCCACTTGGCCAACTTGTTTCTCCACTCCTTGGCAGATGATGACGGTGTGGCCGAACCCATTGATATCCATCCAGTGGATGGGGGAAAGGTCCGGAAATATGCTGCATCCTTGGACTACAGCGTGAATGGTTTCCATCTTCTGGCGACCGCCAGCCCACGGGATAGTTGCAAACTAGATGAAATCAGTGAATCCTCATCCGCAGTGATGTTAGATCCAGGGGATGCCAGAAATTTAGAGATCTTTGTCCTGGCGAAGCATCACAATATTGATGGCTTGGAATCAAAGATTGCAAACATGTACCCTTTTTTTGTCATATTTTCATTTGTTCGGCTTCTTGAAATATTCAAGCCATATTTGTTTTGAAGAGAGTTTCAATTTATGTTTTCTTTGTTTGCAGTTCAGTCTTTCGGAAGTGAGGATTCTCAAAAGTACCTACTGAATGTGAGCCGATTAGCTGGCAGCGAAACCGCTCTGAAAGATGTCCACGTGCCTGGAGCTTACTTCGTGCCAGGGTGGAAGCCAGAGGTGAAACGCTTCACTGTCTACTTGAATTTGGAGGAGGACTTAGTGAAGTTTCAGATCCTGAAGCGACTTTGAAGCAGCTAATGGAAATAGCTGACAAGGTTGTAAATTACCTTCACTGAAAGATTCTGACAGAAATGGGGACAATCACCAAATAGTCCATGTCTTTTCGAGTCTTTTCTTGTAGAACACATCTTTGTGAAAGTGCAATGGCTCGTCGAGCCTTCATTTATGCAAACAAAACAATCGTGCTAAATTTATGCTTTGTTTGGCTGGGCCCTTGTGAAACAACAGATCCTCACAGTTAGTTCCTTGACACCAATTGGAGGTCGCACACGACCCGGCTTCGCTACACATGTTGTCCGGGAAACCCATTTCAATCCCTTGTTCTACCCCGCGTTCGGAACGCAGAGCAAGGCTTAAGAATCTCAGAAGCTTGCTGCCATTGTCATGGGTGTGCTAATCATAGTGACAACAGTGCAACAAATCCCAATTTCCTCTTATCCCCCTAAGTCCAGGTCCTCATACACAACACAATAGATCAGCTGGTTGTCGTTCTTGGTCGCCCAAAAAAAGTTGGTGCGTTTGATGGGGCCTAGGCTGGACAACGGACAAGCAGTGAAGATGGTGGCCGAACTTCAAGAGGTAACTGCGGAGCTTCCGGGGCGACGTTTGCAGGGCACGGAGGTGCTCAGCATGCCACACAGCAGTCCCCAGGTTGGGGAGGCTCAGCATTTGACGTGACTCGTTTGCGTTTGGGCCGAGGTTGGTTTGGTGGATGGTAGAGGTGAGAAAGCTGAAAGGTGGGAGACCTACCAGGTGAGATTTTGAGGTAATTAGGGGTCCAAGGTGCAGTCCCAGAATGGTGGGGATGAACCATGTCCGTTTCTTCCTGTTCTTGTCCTGGTTTCCCAAAGGTATCATCTTGGTAGTGCATCGCTTGAAGAGTTCACTGAATGTCTTCCATTTGGCCCTTTAGCCAGTCCATATTTTGGTGGCAGCATCAGCCCCCAGGGTCCTCTCCAGAATTGTGGAACAGATCACGTTGATGGTCCAGTCCTACAGTCCTTGTCCAGGACATCTCCGTCTAGAATCAGTTCTCCGTCCATAATTGCTAGAAGAGTCCAAGCCCCCCTTGAACATGTGTTGGGCACATCCCTCCTATTTGCAAATCCGTATAAAAACGTGTTTGAATTGACCAGTTTAAGCCTTAAGCATGGACTGTGGGTACTGGCCCAACCTGGCTAAGGCATGTTCATTGGATTCAATAATGATTCAATCAAATGATCATTTTCCACCTATTATGTGAGGGTTGTTATGCTGCCGAAAGCACGTCCTTTTTATCGTCTCCCCTTCCCTTCCCCAGATCTACACCAGTTGAGAGCTGTGGTGCCTTTTCCAACCGGCTACCTTTCTGAATTGGTGCCTACATCTCAACTGTCTCCACCGGTGCGGACAGGGGCCGCTCCACGCCCTGTCCGCCCAGTCGGTCGAGGTCCACCTTGATGACCACCTTGGACGTGGGCCACACGCGGGTGGTGCAGATCCAGGTCACCTCGGCGGATCGATCTCGTGTGCAGCTGGGCAGACGTTCGGCTGTTGGCGGACGATGGCTGAGTGTATAAAGGAGGTTTATTTGTCCAAGGAGTCTTGAGATGCTGAGATTTATGATATTGTAAGGAGCACGTCCAAGTTTAAGTCTTGAGATGGCTTGTTGTCATAGGATCCTATAGGAAATCTCTACTCTTGCCCGAATCTAAGAGCCTGAAGAGGTGCGAAGTTCTCCAGAGTTCTGCGGTCCATACCAGAAAATACAAGCATGTCATTATCAGCCAAATACCTACCATCTACTGTATATCACATCAAGATATACATCCCAAAGATCCCCAAAGTGACGAAGCACCTGGACCATCGACCTCCAGCGACCCGATGAGGCACAACTACTACTTCACCGTGAAGCGGCCTCCCTGTCCGGTGGATCGCCGCTTCTTCGACGGGCAGAGCCGTCGTTGCACGGACATTTGCACCTGGGCACTCGACGGACGCCGATGCGGACCGGCTCGGCCGGGGGTTCCGCTCTTCGGTGGCCTTCAGAGGGCTGAGAGTCGCAGAGTCGCGGATGACCTGTTCAGGGTTCGGGTGGAATGGAAGGGCTCAATTGGTTCTCATGAACAGGGCATTGACAGGTTCTCATGGACCGGTCCTTGGGTTTCACCGTCCGTCCGTTTGAACGGTTTGGAATTTGAGTCGTGATTTGTGGGGATGCCCCCAGCTATACAAGTGAATCAATGCCAGTTAATTGCCACGAGTTTTTGCACATCTGGCTGTCAGTCGTGGAAACACAGCAAATGCAGTCGGTAGGAGCAGTGAACAGGATTCGATACCAAGGTTGGGTCATTGAGTCATTCAGTTCAGGTTTATAGTGACCACATGGTGAGTGGATCTGCACAAGGGATAGCTTCAGAGCTCACGATACCTGTGATACCGTGGAAAGCGTGGTCGCTTCTAAAGCCAAGTCTAGTCACCTGACATCACCTGTGATGCCTTGTCCCCGGAATTGATCTTTGTGAGCAGACCCTTTGAAAAGTGAACTTTTAACCTTTTTGGGGGATTGGTAGGTGAAAGAAAAGGTGAATTCCTTGGATGTTCCAGGGAAAGGGCTCAGGGGGTCAGTGATGTTCAGTGAGGTCTCGCATTTTGAAGCCCCAAGCAGCGGGGGCCACCGAGGTAATGAAGGATTCTATGGAAGTAGCACCACAGGACGCTGCACTCGTTGCATCGATGAGCAGTGTGCCGTTTGCCAGGCGAGGCTGGTGAAACAAATGCAGATTGATCTGGAACATGCCTGGAGATCATCCAAGTTGATCTGGAGAGCATGTTACCAAAAACATCCAAAAATAGAACATGACACAAAAAGAAACACCTATCAGACTGACATAGACTCACCACTTTTGTTGATCTAGGACATGTCACTTGTTGTTGACCCTGGTTGCTCCATGTGATGAGCGTTTGAGGCTTCACCGGGCTAGCGTGACAGGTGCCGTGACTTGTAGGTTGTTGTCAGGTGTAAGTCATCCAACATCATCCAACAAAGGTCCGAAGGAATATCCCGCCTATGACATACAAACATCAAATAGATCAAAGACCCACACTGAAGATGAAGAATCATTTGCTTCTTTTGCTAGGGACTTCACTGCAGTCTTTGCTTTGACGGCTACGAGCTCCAAAGTGGCCTATGTGTTCCAAAAGGCAGTGGCACTGGTTTGGCAACCATCAATACCATTGAGTCGGGTATGTCTAGCTATGCTTGGAAGCACCAGACATTGGTGTTGGTTGTTGCAACTTCTGTGATTGTTGTATGCCTGGCGTGCTTGACAGCTTTGTGCCACTCCGGTGGTTTTCGACATCGCAAAGGTTCGCTGCTTGGGGACGACGATGACGAGGGTGATGACTATGAATACTACCCTGGCTCCGGAAGAGGATGACGAGATGTTTGAGGATCACTGCAAACAGAGCTCCAAGGTATAGATGGTATACACGACGAGGCAGCTGGCTCTGAGTTTACACCGTGCTGTTGGTGAAGCAAAACGCACGCCTTTGTTGCGGTCGACATCCAAGTGATACTAAGCCCACGACCTGCCGTGCTCCTGGAATCAGAAGTTACAATGAGCACATGTGTAGCTGTTGATGCTAAGTACCATGAGATTGTGCGATCGTGGATGGTCAAAAAAAGTGCTCATGTTTTCTTTTTTTGAATGTGCTTGTCGATCTGAGACCACCGGTTTGAACCAGAGCATCCAACGAGGCCATCCCAGGATTCTGTCATGAATGAACGCAAGAGGTCTAGCATGATGAACGCACTTGGGCAATCGGACATCCAAGGACTGAAACTTGTATAACCTGTTGGAATACTGGATTACTATACTTATTGGGTATGAATGTGCTTCAACAATCTTAACATGACTCATATATAGCCCTCAGATGCCCGCAGTTTGCATTTTGCATATCAAGCGTACATGCATAGAGCAAGTTGCTTACTGATAATTTTGAGGACTTTGGCACGTCGTCACATCCAGTCTTGCACAGGAAGGTGTAATGATCTCGCGCACAGTTGGAGCAGGACATGACCTCAGCGACAGGTCATAGCGACACGATCAGCCACTCGCAGATGCCGAACTGAATGAGTCCAGCACTACAAACCAACACTCAAGCCCTGTCTGATTGTTGGCCACGCCTCCGCACCAATACCACGGTCTCTGCGGAAGTTCGGATCTCATGCAGCCCAGCATGCCGGCTGCGGGCCGCCGCACGCCACGCAACGGCTCGCTGTGCTTCTCTGCCAGCATCGGGGTGATTGTGGTGACGGCCGTGCCATGGCAGATCGGTCGTCACTGCTTGGGGAAGGTCGTCACCGCTTTTGTTCATCACTTTGTTCGATGCAGTTCAGTAGCAAAGAACACTTCCATTCTTTGCCTCGGCACCTTCGGGCGCAAAACATGTCTCGCTTAGGCTTGGGGCTTTCAGACTTTTGAGGTTGCTTGGGAAAGGTCTCCATCCCAACAGGTGCAGCCTTAACTGAACTCAACGGCTTGGGCCTGTCGGTTGTTTGGCTTCTGCGATGCACAGAAGCCTTTGGTACAACATTGCTTTGTTTTGTTGAACTGTCTTTGGGCCGGTCGTATGTGTGTGTCTGATTGTGTCTGTGTGTTTATGGTTTGGGTCTTTGGATCGGGAAAACTGGGTCCATGGCCATGTCTCCGAACACCCAGGTGCTGTGTCTTTTGGGCTTGTACCTCAATTGGCCCACCGCGGCCTCGAACACCCTCCGACGCGAAGGCGGAGGGAGCGGGAGGGAGTTGGAACTGTAAAGCTTGTTCCTAATAGCTTCTTGTTACTACTAGTAAGGCACTTGTTACTACTAGCGAGGCACTTGTTTCTAACTGCTTCTTGTTACTACTAGTAAGGCACTTGTTACTACTAGCGAGGCACTTGTTTCTAATAGCTTCTTGTTACTACTAGTAAGGCACTTGTTACTACTAGCGAGGCACTTGTTTCTAGTAGCTTCTTGTTACTACTATTAAGGCACTTGTTACTACTATAGCGAGGCACTTGTTCCTAATAGCTTCTTGTTACTACTAACAACTGATGTATGCAATATTTGAAAATATTTGCCTACATGAGGGTGGTTTAAAAGATGTTTTAAGGATCAAGGGTTGGGGTTTGGCACAGTTCCGTCTACCTATAGCCCGGCATAGCGGATGTAGCTGGTTTGGCTGCAACTCAAGGTGTTCGTGCAGGCAAGTAAGCATTGGAATGTATGTCTACTGTGGCTCCAGGTGAGATCGTGTAAATGTAGACTTTAGAAGTCTTCAGAGACCCTTCTACAAGTGGCACCGACACAGAGCTCCAAAAAAAAGCCACCAATTGTCACGGCATCATTACAGATTTATGAATCTATACCATGTTTAGACCAAAAACCCCATCCCAAACGCCATCCCACCTGTCCATCGCACGACCATCCACCTGTCCACCACCCTCGCCAACCGACCGGGCAGGTCTCCGGAGCCCCAAGGAGATGGCCAGATCCTTCCCGCTGCCCTTTCCGCTGAAGAACTTGGTGAACACCAGCCGAGCGGAAGCGGCCGCCATTTTGCAGGGCCAGGAGCCGGGTGGACGACGGCGGACCGAAGTGGCTGTGGGTCAACCGCTCAGCAACCCGGGTGGTTTAACGCCTCAAAGACTCGCTTTGGGGATCAAGTACTGTTTGGGAAGCAGAGGCAAGTTGCCTTTTTCTCTGAAGAAAAAGGACATTGGATCGCGTTCAAAAGACCGTACTGTACACACAAAGACACAAAGAATGTCGGAGTGATATTTCACCCGAGCATGCAGCATGTATTTTGTTTACATCGTTTAGAAGCGGACCCCCGAAGTCTGGTTTCGGTGCTTCCAGAAGACAACGCGAACCGGTTCGCGCGCTACACTGGTACTAGGTTCTCGAGATGATCACGATTCATTGGCAGGTGTGTGTGTTGCCAAAGGTTTTTGGACAATGAATTTCTCCTCTTCTCCTCCTTTTCCTCCCCTCTTCCCTCACTCCCTCCCTCCCTCAAGCATGAAGGATCTTTTGCGCTAGCAGTGTGCTAGTACAGCGGTCGACTTCTTGACCAATGGTACACGCCAGATCTCATCCAACTCAATTTGGCAAACAGTTGTTCCTCAATATCCGTCATGTTTATATGTTTGCCGAAGCTCTGGGCAGGTGTTGACACGAAGTGTGGTCTTAAGTCTTAACCCAATAGCAGCAAGAGCCCAGCAGCTGCAAGAATCCAGCATTGCAACAGCAGCGCCGCAGCTGCAGCAGCTTGTGAGAAGCTGCGCGCTAGACACGTCACGCAGTTTTTGAGGTTTCAGCCCTGCATATACGGTTTTAATAAACTATGGCAACTATGGTTCAATTCTATGAAAGACTTGCATCATCTAAGAAGGACATTCTAGTCTCACGTGAATTTCTCTAGAGAGATGGAACCCCTCAAAGTCAGAGGCCCACCTGTGCTTCGGAAGAACCGCAACCTCGTTGCTTCTGCAACCTCGTCGGATTGTGCGGAGGATGATCGTTTGCTGGTCATTGTGGGTCCATGCTCCATCCATGATCCCAAAGCCGCACGGGAGTATGCTCATCGATTGCAGGCGCCAACGTTGATCCAAGACCTTCCAAGACGTACGTTGAATTGGTTGTCGAGCAGGCTTTGCATCACTATCATAATCTATCATACTTGGTTCCATGTTGAACTCGTGAACGTTGTGAACTTGTTGTTGAAGAGGCATCCCAATGCTGGACTAGCGGATGCTCGAATAAGGTAAAGGCAACAATGTCAAAGGATTGATGAATCTGCCAACAAAAAGCTAGAACTTCTCGACATACCTGGGCATATCGGTGCCACCCTTGAAGAATCCAACATAGGATACTCACAGATCACTTCTAGTAGAGGACAGTACTGTAACTTTCCCCCTATATTGCCCCTGCCTTTCTCTTCAGAAGGTCCAATGTTCTCATGCCCTTCGATTGGAAATGCACAAATAATATCAATAGGCCTGTTTGTAAATAGGTGTTCTTCGCTGGTTTCTCCAAGTGTTTCACCGACTTTTGGTTGCTTTTGAAGCGTTGCCTCCTTGCTGCACCAGGTGCTTCGGGAGGAAATGAAGGATGATTTGCTGATCATGATGAGGATCCGAGTTTTCTCCGCGTTTTTCCGAGGATGACGGGTTTGGGCGGCATGGGAACGTGGCCCCAGAAACTCCAGGGCACCTGAGGGTCCTGAGGGTCCAGGTATGTCATGGAAAAGGCTAGGGCCCCTCAAAGGACTCGCTGAAGGCCCAAAGCCTAGTTTTGGCAAGCTACTATCTCCTACTACACAAATTCAAACCACAAGAACCGCGACTCAGGACAGGGACAGAGTCTTGAAGGCGGTGTTCTTTGGTTTCTACCCTGCGAGTCATATCCATGAAAATGCCCCCATGAGCGTACCCATCCAATCAACCATCCCAAAGCTCTCAGTCTCACAGGACCTACCTTGAGAAGCCGCGCACCGCCAAAGGTTCCTTGGCTTGGCGGCATTCGATCCTCATCTCTCAGTGCATCAGGTAGGCCATGCCATCGAACTGAAGATCCCTTGAGGTGGCCACCCCCGAAGAGGTGAAAATAAACCTAAATGGATGCAGCTACCTCCATCGAAGCCCTCAGCCTTCGGGATCAGGATCGGGCCGCAGATCGGATGGGGGCATCGGAGGTGGTTAGGAGGATCTGGGACCTGCTAAACCCGACCTTTGACGATCACATCACGTGCCTCCAAGAGCCAAACAAAGGTTCCAGACGTCCTCCAGTTCCAGACGTCCAGTTCCAGCCGGTCATTGAGAGGGAAAAACTCCCCTTCTCCAGGTCCTGTTCTTCAAAGGCCAGTGAAACATGAATAGCTTATTTATGCTTATGTTGTTTGTTCAAAGACGTTCAAAGAATATTTTTTTTTGTTTTAAGTAAACAATAGCTATAAGTTATGTTATACTAATAGAAACAATGATTGAAATATGGTTATCTAAAAAAGAATACGTCCCCGGGACCTCCCAAGACCTCCCAGGTTGGCGCGGCTTGATCTCGGATCCCACCCTGACGGGCGGCGAGGCGGGACCTGTGAGTCGCGAGGGTATTGGTCTCCAGAAGACTAGAAGAAAATCCGTGTTCCTAGTAGCGATGCCCTTTGTTCCTAGTAGCATCCTTGTTACTATATAGTAGTAAGGCCAGGAGCGCCCCATAGTAGCGCCCTTGCTCCGTTCGTCGCGATGCCCTTTGCTCCTAGTAGGGGTGCCCTTGAATTCTGTTTGTCAGACCAACATGATAGTGCCACACTAGGAGACCAACATGTGGGACAATATCTGTTGGGCGAATCTGTGAGGTCCCACATGATACTTTGCCCTGGAAAATGGACGGGCTTTTTTCACGTTCTCGATTCAGATTCGGACCGCTTTTGTGTGACTTGGCATGACTCTTAGACTAGAGTTGACCCGTGATTTTGCAACAAAGAAATTGACACAAATACTTCCTCGATCATGGGGTTTTGATTGAACAACATCCCAGAAAGAACTCACAGAGGGAGGGAAGGTCTTTGAAATATCATGAAATATCTTCACTTTTAGCGTTCAATTCAATACATCGGAACTTGTGGAATGCTCGCTGGCAAGGACTTGGCGCGTGGCTTGGCTTTGGGACGCCGGGTCTTGTTGGACGTGCTGGCAGCCGGGCTGCCCACTGCAGTGGAGTTTCTGGACCCCTTGGTGGCGTTCCTTGGATGATATATCATGATATATCCATAGAACCTGGAGTCTCAGCAGAGGTGCCCTCAGAAAATTGGTATACAAGTGCTCCCAAATCACTTAGTCGCACCAAGACTCATCAGCTATCCGAATTAGCTTGGGGAACCCATCCGCAGAAGTCGCACCAAGCCGCGTTTAGCTTGGGGATTTGTTTCTATGTTCCTGTTGCTTTGGCAATGCACTTGTACGTGGGGCCGGGTCCCATCTGCGAACGAAGTGAGGTCCATTGTTTTCCTCGACTCTTGAAGAAGGGTGCGGCATCCGGATGGTCCGAACGATGTCGAGAGGGCAAAAGTAGACCACAGAATCCAAGAGGAGATCTTAAGTGAGTGTAAGAGCCGTGTATGACATGTTGAACCGTTTTGAACCTTTTTGAACCTCTGAGAGCCATCCTCCCCTGTATGCAACTTGTTTCTGAGAAATTCGAAGGCTTGCTCCTTTACTCGTATGTTAAGTTTCCCAAAAAATCTAGGAACCAAATCATTGGTGCGAGCGCTTCTTCAAGGAAGTTTTTCCCGCTAAGTTTAGGGTGGCGGGAGGAGCGTCCTTGAAGAAGCGTGAGCTATCCTGCGTCCTAAGTAGTAGCTATTTAAGCTACTAGCTACCTCTTCTACAAGCGACTCCCTATCTAGCTAACCTACCTCACCTCTAGCGGCCTACCTCCTACCCCCTAATAAAACACACACACACACAACGGGGAACACCTGTTTGGGATCTGGACACGCCCTCTCCCTAGGCCCTACATCGAAGACGTGGTCGCCTACGGCTCCATCGGGGCTCGAACGGTGGAAAGCCCGGTGCATCGGCAGCTGGCGGCCAGCTTAACGATGCCCATCGGCTTCAAGAACAGTCGCAGCGGTTCCTTGGACACCGGCTGACACCGGTCATCGACCGGTGACATGTGTGCGAGATTCGCCGGCACTGACAGGTGTCAGCATCGTCGATAGGCAGAAGGATCGGGTTTGATTGGTCCTTGAGTGGTTTGTTGTTTTTTTCGGTGGGAGTTCAGATTCCACTGTGGCGTTCTTTTTTGGGTTCAGCAAGGTTCCGACTTTGAGGACAAAAGGCTGAAAAGTCATGGGATGAATGCAAAAACATATTCGACTGAGACCGGAGGTATAGGTGGAATATGGTATGGTAAATGATTGGGAAGGAGTGAAGACTCAAAAAGATAAAAGTGTTCCACTTCTTAATAAGGGTGAGGACTGTGTGTCGGTGCCTCAAAGAATGCAGATCAGCTCAAACACCCTTAGCAGCGCTCCCCCTTTCATTCAGAAAATCAAAGACTGTCTTGTCTTGGCTCTCTGACGATTTAGCTGCAGCTCCATGATGTCACCTCAACTCCCATGACTTCAGGTGACATTCAATCCGCGGTGAACGCCGCCGTGGCGGCCTCTTCTCCCCAGAAGAGATTGTCCACGGATCCTCGTGGACGGGTACAGATTGAACAGGCGACATCGATGCACCGCTTGTGATTCACACCGGCACCGATGCACCCGGCGCCGATTCGAGCACCTGGTACTCATTGTCTATGAAAGGATGTGGAAAGGAAGTGCCAAAAAGCAATGACAATCATAAGCCGGTTGGATGACCCATATAGGTCCCTGGTACACGATATGTCATTTGCTTTTGGGGCATCAGCGGCTAAAGGCACCGGCTGCGCATGGTCCGGCCGCGCATTGGAGCTCGGCTGCGCGGAGCGCGGAGCTCGGCACCGGATTGAAGCTCGCTCGGCTGTTCTAGGCCATCGGGAATCCTGACGTGCACATCATTTTAAGAGGCAGTGAGGATGGGCCCAACTTTGGCCGCTTGGTGGTCTTGGGTGGAGAGGCAGTGAGGATGGTGTTGGACTATGTTGGACCACATAGAATGCGCAGACAGTTTGGTTTGCTTCGGGCGTATTCTGTGCGTCTAGTTACTTCAAGTTTAAACTCATGTGCTTGTGCTGGGTATTTGACTTGGCCCTTTGAATCACACATGGCAATACGGCAAAACATTTTGTTGGTAAATCTCCACTCAAAGGGAGACGTTTTCAGGGTGGTGTACTCAGCGTTGTTGAATACTGTTTTGATGAAAGGGCAGTTTTACAAGAGCCAATGGGATCGCCAGAATCAACATCACTTGCGACGAACGTGATGACGTGGCTGTTGGTTCTTGCATAAGTATGGACAAGTAACACTTCCAACCAGAGGATGGACAGTTGAAATCTCCCTGTTCAGGAGATTGGTCTCGATTGGTGGACTACAACAATTCCGATCGTTCATGTGTTGATCCAGTTCAGCCGTTTGCCAGTCCCCCACTTCCACCACCACTCCATCCTCCCTTCGAATCCGTCGTCGTCCTCACGGGGACTTGGTCGACTCGATGTCCGGGATGCAAGGGGAGACCTTTGTGGCTGAAGCCAAAGAGCGCTTAGCCCAAGCGGGTTTTCGCGCGGCTCCCCGGAGATTGTTACGACGGGAGCGCCCCGAAAAAAACCCATGGTGGCGACAGTGAGGCAGTTGAAGTGAACCTTTTTCGAAAGAGAACAGAGATTTGTTGATATTTGTTGTGTTTTTCAGCCTCAGTCAGCTTGAGGTGTTGTCTTTGGAACCAACAGGGTACAGATGGACATGTGAAGGGACAGCATACGGGGGTTTCAGTTGAAGATCAGACCTGACGTTTTGTGGTTTTGATGATTTGAAGATCAACCACAAATCGATCACAGGTAACTAAGTCTCTAAGTCGATCCTTGCTGTCAAGATTGTCACCAATAGGAGTGACATGTTGTGTGTGTGCCCAACGCTTCTTGTTTCCATCTCAAGGCCTCGCGGCCTCGTTGTCACTGTGTTGGCGGCCTCGAAGCACGGAGGATAGAACGTCCTGTAGTAAAGCAAACGGCGCAGGGTACCCTGGCCCAAAAAGCAAGCGGCGCAAGTTTGCCTGGACTTGGAAAACCAAATTTACTCGTTGGCTATTCATAAAGATGCATGGTTTCTGGGAAGCTCGGCACAAAAAGCCTGTTTGCAGCTGATTCTTACCTGATTCTCCATGCTCAGGTGGATCCCAGATATTGATCGACTGCAGGGAGCTCAGAGTTTCAACATCGACCCGTGGATGCTGTGAGAGCCATGCCAAGTCAAACAAATGCATGTTGAATCATATTGATGTTTCAGAGAATGCTATTGGATTGGGCTACTTCTAGGATAATCCCTAGGGATCCACATACCGTCTCAGGAGGTACTTGGGCCCTCCAAGGCTACATAAATAGTCTCCAATCACTTTCTCAGGTTCGGTATGTGGATCCATAGGGAATATGAACTAACCCATCTCGCCTGATCTTTGAGGCTCCCATGGCAATTCTGGGAAGAAGTATGAGGGAGAGGCGCAGACTTACAGTCTTAGTGGATGGGTTCAAAGACCTCGGAAAGCCGAAATCACTCTACAGTAGACTACAGGGTGCATTTGGGAGCACCTACGGCCAGTATGGCTGTGGGATTCCCCTTGCCAGTAAGAATCTTGTTCATCGATCCAGGAGTCCGCGCCTTCGTGACCTGGTCAGTCCTGCCCGAGACAATCGAGACCATCCGAAAAGGAAAGGAGACCGAGGTCTGAACATGGGAGACCTGCTGAACCAATGGGTAGACTGGTCCGGTCTAGTTGAGTCTATTTCCCGAACCTTTCAGGGCGGTTGAACTGGGAGGTCTCCCTATGTATAGTTTAAGTATATAGTTATACAGATATACACATCCCAAAGAAGAAACATCCTCGGTCCTTTCGCTCGACGACTGTCGGTCCTTTCGCTCACTTTTGCCAGGTGGTCGCTTGTCACTCCGTGGCCGAACAGGCAGCGAGCCCGCCGCTCCGGCCGCTCCGGTGGGCGGTGCGATCGGTGCTGAACGGGTCGTGGAGAATGGGCAAAGGTAGAAGATCGAAACACAGAGTGGAAGAATTTCTGAAGGCACTTTCAGTGCATACTTATATGGAATCAACATAAATACTATATACAGTATATACGTCTAGCACCTTTGTGTTTGAAGGATTGGGAAGCCTGATTGAATTGAGGAGGTCTCATGCAGGGGTCACGTGGTTCAGGATCCCTGCTAAATTAAGTCTGTATTTGTAGCCATTGCTTCTTTAAGTTCCTGACGTGTCATTCCATGTCACTCACAAAAAGAATGGGTCCTTGGGAGTCCTTCCTGGGAGTTGGAATAGTATTCATTCTTCATAACGTGTTTTTTTCCGGTCAAATGGTCATCTCAGCCACATAAAGGCATTTGTTTGGAAAGAACATGTGTATAATGGCTTTGTTTGGAAAAACGGGTCATGGTTGGCAATCAGGCCAGCATGGCAGAGAAAAGCAGACATCCCTTCCGTTGGTTCCGCCTCCAACCAAGCAACTCAGTGAATCCTTCTCAACTCAGTGAATCTACTCGTGATAAAGCGCAGTTTCCACAAAATTCAGAGCCAAACCCCGCACAGCTCTCGCGCAGAAAAGTGTTTGTTTTGTCATGTTTACAAGTGTTGACACAAAGAAGCAACATTACGATAGGTGGTGTCCAGATTGTAATCACAAGCATGGTGCAAGAGTGGATCCAAGCCAAAAAGGATTTTGACAACTGATGTTGAACCATAATGAGCCTTTGTAGGCTTCCAAATCACATCAGTTTTCCTGTGTAGGAAATGCACTGTATGCAAAGCTGAAGAACCAGCAAAATGTAGATGTGGCACCTTCAAACTTGAAACACCTTTGGGATCCCCAATTATGAGCCAAATGCCACTCTTCAGCATGCAACCAAGTTTGCACCAGCTGATTTCTCCGTGAGTATACAAAATGCATCGAATCGAACATAACATCGAGGTAATAGTCCCACAACAAAGTTGTTGAATTGTCCTGCAACAAAGTCATTTGAAGAACAAAAACAACGCAAAAACACATGTGTTTTTTTCCTGAAATGCAGTGTATTTTGTTTGCATACCTTTGCTTCACCAGGTATTTGGTTTTCTGTTGGGAAGTACGGTTTGCATGTTTGGATCTCGTGTGACACCGTTCTTTGGGACACCGACCCATCCGCCACAGGTCTCCTCGGGAAACCCCGCCATTGGTGGAGTGGGGGAGCTCGGACATCGGCCGGGTGCGATGCCGGTGGCTGCTACTGCACCCCAAAAAACACAGGCCAGCACTGGACGTGCTGAGCCAAATAACTAATTAACTCTTGTTTCAGTTGGTCCTCTAGCAGTGATGGCTTGGGTTGCAAAAGAGTGCGGAATTGGCTCACAGGGCCAATGTGTGCATGAACTAGTGTTGTGCACATTTGCATTTAAGAGGCGTGCTGTGCAAAGTGGTATGCACAATAATCTAAGAACTGCTAAGATGGTTTTCGTTTTGCTTTGGGATTGGCCACTTCCACGGGGCGCCTATGCGGCTGGACAAAAATGGATATCAGAAACGGCCATAGTAGGCCCGTGGGGTACTCGAGAGAAGAGGGAATTGACAGATCATCACAACCCCTTCGCCCCACCAGTGGACCACATGGCCCCTGGTTCCCTCCACAGGTTTTGATCGAAAGCTTCCTGGTGGCTGGAAACCAGAAGTTGGAACCAGGTTCGGAGGGAAGCTCCGGGGGCGTCCTTGGCTTGAAGTCGACTTCACGTCTGTCTGAGAAGCCTTTGGGACGTGCTGTCCTTCTGAGGTTGTGATGTTTAGCCTTCGTAGATATGTTTGAGTTGTTTTGGTAAGAGGAAATCTTCCAAAGACCTGTCGTAGTAGAAGGAAAGAGAGACTATACAATACAAAACAGAGATTGGTGGGGGCAAGTCGCGAGGACCCGGTGGGCAAACAAAGTAGTATGCTGTGCACACCCACATCATCCCAGAATCACTGTCGAGTTTGGACGTTCAGCCAGGTGTGACGAAAGTTGAGGATCTTCAATACGGTTGCAGTGCCATGACCTCACGACACTGCAGGCTGCTGAAAAAGAAGAGACGTGTGACACAGCAGAATATCACCAGCTTTCAGGGAATGTGAGCTTGACACGTGTGGGTATGGAGCATGTGGCCATGCATATCTCAAAGCAAGACATTCAATATCATGCAAGATCTCAAACATGTTGTTCGATTTGTTTAACAATTTTACATGTTTTTTTTTTTGCAAACCTGTTCATTGTCATTATTCTACTTTTTAGTCCCGACCTTCTCGGGAGTGCATCTCCTGCCATTCTACTGGTGATGGAAGAATCCTTAGAATACCTTAGAATTATATACAACACCACGTTCCCTGATATTCCAGGCGGTGCAGGATCTCTTCCATCAGTGGAACATAATTGCTAGATCTGAGGTCACTGACTCCTGCCTCGATTTCAATATGACGCAGGCCTTCAGGGCGGATTGATCGAGATGGGTCTTTTCAGTCTCCCCTGGGAAGGGTGGATGAGCATGGATGAATTTCGATGCCTCCTTAGGCATCCTCTGGGTACATGGGAAGCTCAGTAGGCCTCGAGGGTACATAGCCCATGGGATGTCAGCATTCTTTCACTGGTGCTTGTCTCTCGGATTTCGATATCAAGAATATATAGGTCGAGCATGGTCCGGAACTTGCTCGGTTTGATCTACTGGCCTGGGAAACAGCCTGATTTCACTGTCTAGTAGCCAGCCTGGCCCATCTTCCTTTCGACAACCCTGCTTTAGGATGTCGTCCGAGAAGCTACCTGTTGAGCCTGGTCCTGGCATGCCGTAGCTATTATTTATGGCTTTGAATCCTTTCTTGGGAATTTGAGGTCATGCGGCCTTTCCCCTTGCGAGTTCTAGTCTGCAAAACGTTTTGCTCCTCCTGCAGGAAGAAATTGACAGACGGAAATCTTTGGTTGCCCAAGACCGCAAAAAGAAGTGAACGTTTGTCACTCAGCATCGTTGGGGTCATTTCCTGGTCCCTTCTTTTACCAGCAGTGTCGGCCAGATTCTGAAGCTCCACTCAAACCACCCCTCAGTGACCCCAAACATAAGAAACTGAACGCTTTCCCATTCTAGGTTGGACCCACAGCCTGGTGATTTGTGATATTTCCACTCAGGTCCCAGGCTCCCCGTGCTCCCAACTGCTCGCAGCTGTCGCAGGAGCTCCTGCAAGACCTGCGACGCTCCGTGCTCGCGCGGCGTGCGCGGGTGGAGGAGACCTGGAAGGGAACACCCGAGGCGCGGAGGGGGATGAAGACCTGCAGTTCTACTGTTTGATGGAAGAATATGTATATACTGTATATGATTATAATTTAGATATATGTAGATTATATACATATATATATAACTTGCGCATTGATTGAAGCTAGCCCATACCTTAGCCAGATCTCCGTATATAAATACTGTGGCTTCCGGGTATTCCGGGAAGACCAGAGAGGAAGGAAAGAAGCTCTTCGAGAGTCTGAACTGAACGCGTCGAATGTGTCTGAATTATCTATATGTTTTGTGTTTCAGGCAGGTTGAAAACACCAACAGGATCCATGTTTTCACAGGGATCGCACTTCCTGAGCGGCAGCAGCAGCATGGCTCACCACGATGCAGCCACTTTCTCGTGGACCAACCCTACAGACCCAGAACACAACACGAACTGTTGTGAAGGGATGCGCAGTATGCCAATGATCCTGCTTTGTTGGCGTCACCCGCTGATGCCAGGCCAGTGCCACAACTTGAGCAATGCTGCGAGCCGCGCAAAACAGAGAGAACTGCCACCGATGCGGACGCGATTCAAGAGGGACTGGTCTGTGAGTTGCGAGGAAGGCTCATGTCCATGTACTTAATTATTTAGGAGTTGGTGTGTTCATTGTGAGCCAGTAGAAGGACTGATCAGTTAGCAGGGCTTTATCAAGTGTTCATCCAATAGCATGATTCAATACTGTAGCCATTTGGGCTCCAACTCAGCCACGAGATCTCCGCACGCATTTCAAGCTCTCCTTTGTGGTGATGGCTGAAGAGATCCCGACAGCTCCAGAGAAACATGAGCAGAGCTGTGGAGAGTTTGCATTGTACGTGACCCTGAAAATACTTGGTGTCTTGATCTCGCTGTACTTCTTCCTCTTTGCTCTGAGCTTGATGGGGGGTTCCTTCGGCGCTCTTGGTGGAAAGGGTGCTGGTGAACTCTTCACGATTACAGACAATCCAATTGCAGGTCTCATGGTCGGGATCTTGGCAACCGTTCTGGTTCAGTCATCCTCTACCAGCACGAGCATTGTGGTGGGTTTGGTGGGTGCTGATGTTTTGACTCCGCGCCAAGCGATCCCAATCATCATGGGTGCCAATATCGGGACTTCTGTGACAAACACCATTGTGTCAATGGCTCATTCTGGAGATCGCCTGGAACTTGAGCGTGCTTTTTCTGGAGCCACCGTGCACGACATGTTCAACATGTTGAGTGTGTTGACCATGCTGCCATTGGAGATCATCATAGCTGCCATCTCAGGAGAGGGAGGTTTGCTTTATTGGATCTCCAGGGGATTGACAGAAGCTATGCTGGGAGAGCAAGAGGCCGACCTGACCTTCCCATCTCCAACCAAGGAGATTGTCAGCCCGCTTGTCAAAGCAGTCTTGTCAAAAGATAAAAACGTGGTGAAGGCCCTGTCCTTTGGTGCACCTTCTTCTTATACTATGCCCTCAGGCACCGGCACTTACTATTGCGTGAGCTCAGCCATGAGCAAGGCTTGGAAGAAGGTTGCCGAAGATGGCTATGAGGCCTTGACAAGCTGCAGTGGCTTCAGTGACCAATGTCCTGCTGGCAGCAGTTGCTACACTGATGCAGGAGACTACTACACCAATGAGATCGCTGGTGGCAGGCTCATTGGCAAGGGCTTCCTGAAAGGTGCAGGTGATGTGGGCGGCGGCATCATTGGACTCATCATTTCGCTTCTTGTGATGTGTGGAGCTTTGTATGCCTTGGTACGGTTGTTGCAGAGCCTTGTGATGGGCCAGGCGAAGAAGGTGATAATGAAGGGCACCAAGATGAACGACTATTTGGCAATCTTGGTCGGCTTTTTGATCACAATCCTAGTGCAGTCGAGCTCGGTCACCACATCTGCATTGACTCCTCTTGTTGGCATCGGAGTTCTACCAGTACACAAAATGTTGCCCATGACTCTTGGAGCTAACATCGGCACAACTATTACCTCTGTCCTTGCTGCATTTGCCGTTATGAAGTTTAACAGCATTCAGATTGCCTTTTGCCACCTGCTCTTCAACATCATTGGTATTTGCGTTTGGTTTCCTGCCCCCATCATGCGCAGGGTGATTGTCAAGGCTGCTTGCACTCTTGGCTTCTACGCCTCATATTGGCGTCTTGTACCCCTCATTTACATCCTGGTCATGTTTGTGGCCGTACCAGGCACCACATGACAAAATGTGACAATAATGATGTGCAAGTTCTTGGATTGATTTGGGCTCTCTATGGGTGTTCCAAAATACAATCACCAACAGCAAGGGAACCACCAAGGTATCCAAGCATCAAGAATTGCTCATGTTTATCCCTGAGGTTTGTCCTTGGCCATTTCCTTGCTCTATGGTGCCAGTGTAGCCGGAGGTATTGTGTTGACCCTTTTGGCCTTGAGCGGAGTGGCAGGATTTGTCTTCTGGTGGGTCCGCTTGGGCGGGTGCTACAAGGTTGTGAGCCAGGAGGAGCGAGAGGCAAGAAAGGCCGAGATGGAGGAGGAGATGGGCACCACTGAAACAAAGGTGGTCGCAGTGGTACCCAGTGAAGCATGGAACCCTTGAAGGCCCTTTTTCAGCCTTGTGCCCTAGGCTGGGCGGTTAATTAATTCTGAATTCCTGCAACTCCAACCTTGTTGCAGGCGACTCAAGTGGATGTTTGGTTTTTCAAGGCCTATGGCCAGCCAAGCTCTTGATCTGGGCTAAGGCATGCTGACAGACCTTTCGTGATTTATAGGTCAATTCAAGAGTGGAACCGGCAATGGGTTGCAACTTATGCAGTAAACCGTTTATTGCCGCCCCTGCATTTTCTCTTGTGCTTTGCGCTGAGCGAAACGCAGCGCAAGAGCATTCTTGACTTTTGCTGAGGGCTTTGGAGAAGTTCCGTTCAGCAGTCGAGCTTCACTGAATATCATTGAGGTTCAGAAAAAAAGTGCACTGCACGAAGGCATGCTGGTTATGAGATGAGACTGTTGCCATGGTCAAAGAGTGTCCGTAGCCGTTGACAGCCCAGCCGCAGTTTGGCAGGATGCACGCTTTTGGCTCGTGGTCGCTGCTTTCTTGGAGATGTTTCAACTGTTTGGGGAATTGGTTGAGTGGCAAGAAGACGGAAAGAGATTGGCCTGGCGTGTTTGGTGGCCTCCTTCACAGCAATTTGTTAAACTCACAAGTCTGTTTAGCTCGTAGGCCCTTTTGACTATTCTGAACCTGGTATACAGATATCTTGAATGCATGCTGCATGCACCTATCTTTTCCATTGTTTTCCACTACTGACCAGAGCCACACACACAACAGGTTCAGGCTCCTAATATGCCCAGTTAGACAATCAACGTTGCCATATTGTCGCAATGGGAAAAGTCAAAAAGGCGAAACAACCCGGCAAGGATTCAGGCCAGGAGGGCAAAAGTGGAGAGAAACGAAAAGACGATGAGTCACCACAACAGTTCCAATGTCCTCTTTCAAAGCCCAATTATTGCCAATGCATACCAATGTTACTTCCTTGCTTAGCAGGAACCATCATGCGATAAAGCCACTCGATGGGTGATAGACTCCAGGTTCTTCACTTTCTGGAGCTATAAAAAGCTTGCGGGATCGAAACAGCACACTGAAACGACAAGACCCACATTGGTGGCGCTTCCGTTGGTGGGTCACCGTTGTTAGGCTCTGAAGAGGATGAACCACACTTTCAATACTATGAACTATATTGAACATGATCTTGGGTGAGCTTATGAGAGGTACAGCGATTCACATTGAAAAGCCAGTGGCACCGACCCGACACTTACATGTTGCTCCTTGCAGATTGGTATGATGAACTTGCTCCTTGCTAGGCCTGCCTGCCATGCCTAAGGCGGTGAAGCAAACCATCGGCAAGGCTGGCGGCCAGAGACTGCAAGAGCGCCAGTGCTCGGAAATGGGAGTGACCATTTGCAGAAGGGCTTCCCATAATTTCCCCTTCCTGTCCCAACGCCTATGCTCGACCCCCTTGGAGTACGCCAGATTGATCGAAGTGGCCCTGGAACATGCTGTGTTTGTTGTGTTTTCGTGTTCCGGGAATCCAACCCATTCTGGAAGACTCGCCCAGCTCGTCAGGTCTTTTTCATGTCTTTTCTGCACTCATGAACCTTCACGCGCTCGAATGAACTGGTTCAGTCCCAGACATGAATTTCGTTGAATCCACCATGACCCTTCGGTGAGTTCGGAGCGCCCGTTCAACGGGTCGGCGCCGTGGTCCAAGACGTCGAAAGGTGAAGTCCAAGACGTCGAAGGCGAAGGCGAAGACGTCGATGGTGGAGATGTGTTTGAGTGAATTCTGTCAATATTTTCACACCACCCATGGATGTTCAGAAGGGACTGCTGAAGCGAATTCCGGAGTGGTTTTTCTGCATGGCAACTGCTCATCAGCAGATTTGTGCCGGGCTCCCGGTTGGTGATTTGTCCATGACTAGTTATCGCAGGCGCCAACCTCGGTGGCCAAGGCAGTGGCAGAAGGCGCAAGGGCCGGGGAATGTGAAAGGTCACATTCCTTTGCTCATAGCTTGGGATGGCATGGATCTCCTTGTACATCGAAAAAAACTTGGACCCCCCGCCCAGAAGCTTTCTTGGAATCCTTCAAATGAACCTGGACATACCTAGGACCCTTCAAAGCACCCTTGAAACCTGACCAAAAAGGCACCAACAAGCAATGTGAACAAACACTTCAGCCCGTTTGAGTGACTCCGAAGCGACTCATTGTGACTTGTGGAGTCACTTTGGAAGGTGCGTCTCCATGTTCATGCCATTGCTTCTAGGTTGGAGCCCATCGCTAGTAGGTTGGAGGCCATTTGGCCATGTTTATTTCCCGCTTTCGTTCCGAGGCCCCCAGAGCCGCCGAGCCTTCGTGGCGGCGGTGTCCGCCGCCCGCGCCGAGGGGGGGAAAGCGCGGCGGCCCGGAGCAGGGGAGCGGGGGAAAGCGCCGCTTCGGCCGGGGGTGGCGGTGGAAAGAAGGGCATGTTGTGAGAGATGGGCATGTTTGATGATTGGAATGGCACGTCAGCGTTTGTCCAGATGGAAAAGACCGCAGGTGATGTGTGCAATGAGATGGAAGAGATAGGTGTATAACCAGCTTTTTGTTACTGTCACTGCTGATTTGGGACCTTGGACCCCGAAACTAACAACCAAGTGTTATCTTGTTGTGAGTTCAAGCGCTGGAGAACCAGGATCCAACAGATATTAACCCTTGAAAGCAATTAGACAAAACACAAACTGACGACATTCCAACAACTACGTGTGGAATCTATGTCGCGCATGCGCTTGTCAGACAGGTCTTGCCAGCACAGTCTTTGATCTACTTACGCATCCAGAAGCCTTCAAAGCAAAACAGGATTCCTTGGCTTTTTTGTTCTCCATTTTGGGTAAACCGTTAAAGACCACTTCACCTGTCTAGGCTGGCCGATCTCGGGTCCCTCTTGGGCTGTTCGCACAGGTGCTGAAATCCCTCTTGGGTCCCAGGCGACGGGGAAGCTGGGTGGGTCGTCTTCGACGAGAGCCACTGAAAGCTATACACCCGGGAAGATTAACATTTGACATGGAACCTGAAAATGGACCTTTGAAAGGCCATTTTCCTCTACAGACCAGTGTGGTTTTGAGATTCCATGTTAATCTTTCAGGGTAGTCATCCTGAGGAGATCATGGAAGAGGGAATATGCTAAAACCCACGGGGCAATCTCCGGAGAAGTTGGGAGTGTTCCCATACCATCCCATACCCTATACTTGAGAAGGATGTTCCACTGCTCATGTCCATGTATTTCCCACATGGCGGGGCCAGGATTGCCCTGATTTAAGGGCGCGGTATTCCGTTTTAGTTGGATGGTTGGCCACCTGAATGTGTTCCGGCTGGCCACCTGACATAGCTAGAAGCCTCCGTTCCGGGTTCCTGGAGACTCTTGGGATGGTCCAAGAAGTCCTTGATGGTTCAACCATGACTTTTTACCCATGTTGCTTGGACATTCAGACTATATAGACATAGTTAGCTTGTAACCGCTGGGCATTTTTTTGGCTGATCGGGGATTTGATCTCACAGGCGGCTCCTAACTAACTAGTAAATGTCAGGTTGCAGAGGCAGCTTGGCCTCAGTTGCGCTGAAGTGCAAAACTAGGCAAATGCAAATCTTTGCAGCACAGACTGAGGATAATCATTTTGTCACTGTTGTTGTCATGTTCTTTCATTTGTCTTGCGCTAACCTTTCGTGCTGCTAGTCAGTCATTCCTTGGTGTTTGTGTGTGTGTGGGGTTCGGCTTAGAACAGCAAGCCAAATCATTATTATGTTAGTCATTGCCAAGTCTGGGCTGTCATGTTTGGCACTGTGCGCATGCTTGTTTGTCTCATGCATGCATTTATTGCGTTTCTATATGGCTTTATTTTGTGTGAGTCCCACAGATTGTGCAATTATTTGTTGTTATCAGACTGTCATTTGTTTAAATGTACGATGGGTTCATATAGTTCTGCCATTTTGTCAGTCATGTCGAAGACTTGCTGCGATTGTCCTTTGATGTTGCAGGTGAGTGTTTCTTTGAACTATGTTAGATTATGTTGGTAATTTAATGTATGTTTGTTGGTGTCAATGGTATGACGAACCAAATGACCAAAAAAGGGACGCAGCAAATGACAAAGCGATGTAAACCAAAAGACCAACCCAAGGACAGGAGACCTGGGAATGACAAACACATGAGCCCAACAAGAAGATAAATCCCCATCTAGGTGGGGTTCAGATTCTCATAAGACTGGGCCGAGATATTCTCAGAATCCCATTTGCTTGGGTGGGTCACACTGGGAGAGACGGACCAATTCCTGTCGTTAGATGGGAGGGGAGGCGTGACCGTCTTTTCGGAGGTTTGGGATGACCGTCTTCCCGCCACGGTCCAACGCTCTGTGTCTTGTTCTTTCGGCCTCCAAGTACCCGGATGAGGCCCAAGATGAATGGAGTCGCAGCCCCAGCCATACACTTCAGCTATGATGAGGGGAAACTTTTCTTACAAGGGTGTGTATTTTTACAGAGAGACACCCAACCAATGGGTGTTTTCGGCCTTTGTAGTTTCACGCACAACTGTGACTATGCAGTGGTTGCCCTCAGCTAAGGGTAAGGCAAACGCGAACGGGACCTCGACATCTGTACACTGCAGCATGCAAAGAACAATCAAATCAAACCATTGAAAAAAGCTCACGGCCTCCAGGGGCCCTTCAAATTGTAAGTAGAATGCCGTCCAGCATGAAAGTATTTCCACAAGTTGTCGCAGACAGCCTTGTGATTGGGAACATTCAAGAAACCCGAAACATAGGTGGTAGCACTCAGATAGCCCAATCGACGCAGGCCACCCCGGTGACATGGGAAGTCACACCTGTGCTGATCCACCATGAATCATGAATCATTTGAAAAATTGAACAAAGAATCTCAGCTGTGTGCACAAATCCGCCGGAGCTTCACCGAAGTAGGTAGGCCAATGGTCGGCCCTTGGTTGGGTTTGGTCTAATTCCTTTCTTCCAGGGGTTGAACTGGGAGGTCTCCCTATTTTGCTACACACTAATAGGTGTTGTAGAAGAGAGGCCCTTCAATATCATAGGTAGCAATTTTTGTGGACATCAGGGACGGTGATCTGAGACGAGCTTGCGTAAGGTCAAGGGCAGCGAAACAACGCACACGTCGGCCACGTTACTTCGTCAGCCACGTCCACACCCAGTGTGGAGGGATGGGGCACCAGAGCTCGCTTCGGCTGAAGGGGTATACGGTGGCATACGCTTGTCGAGGCACGGATGATGCAAGAGATTGAAGAAGCACGCGCACATGCCGAGCAGGCCAGGTTGTTCTGTGTTTTTTTGCGATCAGTGCAGTGTTCAGGTTGGAATTGGTGAGTGAAACTTTCTTCATGTTGTTGGTTTGGGTCCATCAGCCATCTTCAGCCGAACAAAGTCGTATTTAGCAACTGCCCTGTATTCAGAAACTAGTCTTCAGAAACTATTGTGTTGTATTTAGAAACTATTTTTGTTGTATTCAGAAACTATTGTCGTCGTATTCAGAAACTATTTCGTTGTACTCAGAAACTGTGGGATTCAGAAACTATGTTGTTGTTTCAAACTATTTTTGTGGTATTCATAAACTAGTTTCGTCGTATTCAGAAACTATTTCGTTGTTCAGAAACATTCAGAAACTATTTTTGTGGTATTCAGAAGCTATGTTCCTCATATGTTGTATAAAATTTGTGGGGTGGGGTGGGGGAGCCAATAAACATAGGTGGGTAGTTGCGTGAAAAGTTGATGATCTCCGTGAATAGTGCTGGTGTTGCTCTTCGTAGTTTCTGAGCATTAGTTTCCGAATACAACTGAGCAGCGTTCAAAACCTGAATGCAAGACCACATGATCCGATTAAACTGCAAGACTGTCGCGTAAGCTAAAGTCTGCACGGCGTAAGGGTTGCGTAAGGTTGGTGGAAGCCAAGCTTGGGACACTCGATGCGTAAGAGGTGCGTAAGCAATTTTGAGTCTTCTAGTTACACAGCCAATTTACTTTTTGCTGAGAAACACTGCAAGCAGAAAAGGGTTGTGGACTCAATCTCTCAAAGGCCCTGTTTGCAGGGGTCGAGTGGCCCACGACCACACGAATTCCGCGTAAGCCCCGCGCAAGCCGATTCGTAAGGTTTGCGTAGGCGAACTTCTCAGATGAAGCCCTTTGCTCACGTCCACCAAAGGTTTTTTCTAAAGAAACCAAAGCAAGCAGCTGAGCACTTTTCAAGCACAAAGCCCACTGTGACCCTCGCTCCAACTGCTTGGTCCCCATGGCTGACAAAAAGAAGCAGCGGGCTCCACCAAGTGAATCATACAAGCAAAGTGTAAATTACTTTACTTCGAGTGATCCCCGGGAGTGCCCACTGCGATCTGGAGCTTGCGGTTGAGGTCCGGGAGTGCCCACCGCTATTTGGCGCATGCTGTTGGAGTCCGGGATTCCCCACTGTGATCTGGCGCTTCATCTTCTAAAATCTACGGTAACCACCCTCACCTGACAGGTTGGGAACAAAGAGTGTTCACCGCTCTGGTGCCAAAACACCGGTAACAAAACCGCCGCGTAAGAAACGCGTAAGCCCTAAGAGAAACAACATCACCGCGTAAGCGAAAACATTGGTAGCGTAAGCATTGCGGAAGCCGACGCGTAAGCAGAGAAGGATTATAAGGCCAAGACTAAAGGGTTTCGACAACCGCTCAACTGACTAGTTTTCGAATACCAGTTTCCGAATATAGTTCTGTAGTTTCCGAATACAACCCTGACCATCTTCAGCCATTCTACTATAAGCATCTATAAGCTCTAGCATGTTGGTTGATGTGCCCGACAGGTGGCTGATGTGGCGCATAAGAAGGGCAGGCGGGCGAACAGAGAATTCGCTGGACAGGTCTTTGGCAAAGATCATGTGCACTCTAAACTCAAAAATGGAATGTTCCTGAAGATTACTGGAACATCACAAGTGGAAACTCCCAAGTTGAGGGAACATCCGCCGGTGATCGGACACAAATACTGGCAAGGTTTTGTTTTTATGAAATTGCTTTGTCGGAGGCGCTAGACTGTTGAAGACTATCCACATGAACTCTTTGATGTACTGCATCTATATTGGTTCCCAGGGCTCCAACCACATCCTCAGAAGGTAGTTGGAGCCCCCTGGCACCACCCCAACCGATGTGGGAGCCCTCGGCAGTCTAATGCGCCGAAACGAGGCCCTGAGGTCCAGGCCCGCTTATTGGATGAATTCGTCCGGACAGAAGTTGCAGAGGTCCAGGAAGAAGAAGCTATCAGCACACAGTCGAGGAGTCCTTGCGGCCTTCAACGCCAGCAGGGGGCCAGTCTGACCTCATCCTGGAAAAGTGATGTACCGAGGTGTATAAAAGATGAGGATCCACACTTGAGATCGGTGCAGTATTAAACTTCAACTCGGAGGATTTCTTGATTTTAAAGTACTTGCCTTCAGGATCCTAACTAAGCTGTTTGCTTGGTCGGTGGTCTCTAGGGGTCGTGTATTAGCCTCATGTTAAGAGGCCTTGTGCGCTGATGTTGGAAGGGTGGCAAGAGGGAGACCGATGCCCAGGTGGACAGGTCGAGGTAGTGCAGGTCGATTGAACCTGGACCTGTGCGTGAATTATGTGCGAACATTCAATATTCATGCTGTATGCACCTGGCTCAAGTTCTTTCATTTCTGCCTTGTCAATCGTACTGACTGTATACGTTTGCAAGATCGATCCAAAAAGTGCCAAAAACATCTAAAAACCGATGTCAACCAAGAGGCATATTACATGTTCAGGTTTAGGATGGTGTGAATTTGAGGTAGGATCTCACTCTGTTGAGCCAGGTTGTCACACTATGTTGTGTCTGCCGCCGTTTGGCTCCTAGGGCCCTTGAGCTATACCGTGCTCGCTTTCGCAGTGAAAAGAGCGTGTGGACAGTACGATTCCGGTTGCTACCGACATTGGTAGCGGAGCAGGTGACGGCCTGACTCCGGCACGTACTGATCCAGGTCATTGGAATCGTAGAACATCAAGCCTGAGCTTGCATTCCTTGCGTGCTTTCGCTTGCCTCCTCTGATCCCGTTGGGGACAGAGCCCGGAATAGATTGCTCGCCCGAGCAATCTCCGTCGGAATCGTCGAACATGTCCATTGCTGGACTCAAGTTCCATTCGGGTAGCACTGGTGATAGAATAGGCAACCCCCTGGAAACCAAGAGTGGGTCTTACATCTATTGGGGAGATCCTGCATCATTTCATGATTGGAAATTTCGAACCGAACTCCGCATCAAGCTGTACGACCAAGCCCAAACGCAACCAGCAAAGAAGCAGGATCCCGTGACTGGACCTGCCGACGAAGGGGAACCTTGGCCACCAGAGTCAGACGAAGGATTCGCATTCCCTTCGCCTGGACACTATCCCGAGGAGTTTGAGCCCGAGCCGCGTGAGACTGCCGGTACTCCCAAGTCGAAGGTTGATGCAACATCACCGAAGGCTTCGTCCGTTAAGTCAGACAAGTCGAGCATCATCGATCGCAGTGTCCTAGTGAACAAGATCGTAGAAGGTTTGAGAGGTGATGCATTTTTGCTTGCCAGAGACTTAGGTCTAGAGACACTTGCACGTCCAGGGGGACTGGAGCGTCTCATCGAGGTGATACGTAACCATGTGTTTCCTCGAGCCTTGGAGGAGAGTAAGGAGCTTTTTCGCGCAGGACAGAAGCATGGAGGACCACTGTCGAGACAGCCTACAGAGAGCATGTTGTCGTACACTCAACGTCGACGACGTTGGTGGACCTTGTTGGTTGAGCTTGACCCCACAATGATGATCTCAGAAGCTTTCCGCACAGAGCTATTGCTGGAGATGTCAGGTATTTCCAGGCAGGAGATCCTCGTGGTGAAGGCTTGTCGCAAGAACGATGACTTCGAAGGTACTGCACGAGTCCTGGTTGACAACTACAGTGGAATCCATCTTCGTGAAGGGTCCCGATCCTGGACAGGACGGGGAATTCAGCCTCAGGTAGGCAAAGGCAAAGGGTACCAGAAGGGGTACCAAGGTAAAGGCAAAGGTAGCCAATATCCTCGTGCTGGTTACAATGCCGTCTATCCCGATTGGGAAGACAATTTCGATTGGAGAGATGAGGACTTGCAGGAGCATCATCATGAAGAAGATTCTTTCGTAGGCATGCTAGGAGGGGTTGAAGAGTCTGAAGAACATGAACATGCTAGCCATCCTGAATACGAAGATTTTGAGTATCATGATGATGTTGATGAATATGAAGCAATTGCCTTGAATGCAGTAGTTGATTGCGAAGATGCCGAAGAACGTTCCTCAGGTGATGCTATCCAATTGCAGCTTGCCGCATTCGTCGCTTTCGGGAAGGCAAAAGGCAAAGGCAAGGATAAATTCAAGGGGAAAGGTAAAGGCAAAGGTAAGATAGTGAAGTCTCACCTTAGCATCGAGCAACGTCGACAGAAACTGTCCGAGATCAAGGCGAAATCCAAGTGTCTTCGTTGTGGTGGTTTAGGTCACTGGGCCGGAGACCCCCAATGTAAGATGCCCAACGCCCCGAAGACTGGATCGGCCCCGAAACCTGCTGCACACATTGCCCACATGAGTGATTCATCCGAGGACGAAGGGATTTTTCTAGGTGCGGCGTCTCCAACCGACAGCGTTGCTCACATGGCCGTGAAGGCCAGCTCAGGAGTCCGTCCGGAGGCACCAGTGAGTCCCAACGACCTCGTAAGGCCTGAGGGGAGCGATAGGAAGTTCTTAGCTGGACAGTTCAGGGGGAAGACATTTTGGCAGATCCTTCATGAACATCCTGACTACCATCAGTGGGCCATCAAGAATGGCAAGAGTCCAATCGCTTCGGCTTTCGTCACGTGGGTTGATCAGCATTTTGAATACAGGGGAGCTTCAGTTTTCAGGAAGGTTGGTGGTGCTTCTTCTTCATCGTCATTGCAGCCAATCCCAAAAGGGTCCTCAAGGAAGAAACCACCATATCCACCGAAAGAGAAATGCAAGAATTGTTCCGAGTTCACCAAACAAGGGAGCACAGCATACACCATCAAGAAGACATGCCTTGTCTGTGGGAACTCCACCACCGAGCGTAGAGATCAAGCCCCGAAGTTTGCATACGACGATTGCCCGCACTCGGACACCGATTTTCGAGGTTCTTCCAGGTCTGTTCACCGTGTGTATTGCAAGCTTTGTTGTTCGTTTTTGGATGAGACTCCGATGGAGCTCCAAAAGACTAGGAAGGCAGCCTCTGAGAAAGTCGTCAACGCACCGCTCGATAGGATCCCAATGATTGAACGTTTGGTTGAAGAGGAACCCGAAGAAGGACACACCCCCGAGATGCTAGAGAAGATTTTGACTGAATTTGCCGCCCAAGTCGCGTTGGCAGCCGAAACCGAGGCAGTGACTTCGATCAAGCTGCACGAGCTCCTCCACCAGTCCATCGAAGAGAGCAAAGGAGACTCGTTCACCATGATTGATTACACCGAAGATCCAGACCCTTTTGCAGGGATCGGCATTTGTTTTCATGGGGAGGAACCTGCCCGCATGACGGACGGTCTGGTGCATATCTTTCACGAATCCAGAGACATGTACAACCCAGACGACAGAAACATCTACATCGTGCTCGACGAGGGATGTAATTCCACCTGCCATTCGAAGCACTGGGGAGACGTTGTTGAGGCCAAGTTGAAGAAGCTAGGATACGACTTCCCTTTTTCGACCACGACATCGAAGAATTTTGCCGGTTTAGGTGAAAATGGGACCACCACAGAGGGATCCCGCACGTTGCCATTTTCGTTGCATTTCGAGACAGGCAAACCCGTGCATGGTATCCTCGAGTCCCACCAGCTTTCGAAAGGTCGTTCTCCGCTGCTTTTGTCTCTTCATGCACAAACGCATTTAGGATTGGTGAAAGACCTCAAGAATGGAATTGTCAGCATAGATGGCAACCATCTCAAGGTATACCGATGTGTTCACACAGGTCTCATGATGTTGGCAGTCACCCCACAACAGTTGATCCAGAATTTCCGACAAACCTCAGAACTTCAAGTGATCCCTAAGTGCCACAGACGTTTTCGCACTGCGTATCCCGCGATGGAACGCGGATGGAATGGCGAGAGAGGTTTTCAGGCCAATTCTGCGACCGAAGTCAGCAAAGCATTGGACACCATGGTATCGAGCCTGCAACCGCGAGAGTTCTTGATCATTACTGGTGGCGAGAGGTTTCCGGATCGCATCAACTTTCGAAGCAATTCGTATCCGATCCTGGAGTTGAACGCGAAGGATTTTCATGATCCGGAACAGAACGTGAGCCTGAGAGGCCACGTAGGCCGCCATCCTGAGATTGTTCAAGGACTTCTTCGAGGCAAGAGATCGCTGGACACGATTCTTCGAAAGGTCGACAGGTTTTGTGATGAGGAGGATCGTGGTGTGATCGACTTGAAGTGCAAGAGTGGAAGGCATCGGAGCGTTGGTGGTTCGATCATCATATACAGACATTTGAAGGCCAAAGGCATTTCTTGCAAGATCATCCACCAGCACAGTCCAGAGTGGGCCCAGATGAGCTGTGGAGGCAGGTGCAGTTTGTGTGGTCCAGGTCATCCAGAAGCCGTTTCAACTCCTATTGTCTTGACCCCGAACCAGACTTCAAGCATTCGATCAGTCCCAGTTGCAACAACCACTTCATCGGACAAGGGTGCACCTTGGAGACATCCGCCGAAGGCTATGCCTCCTACATTGGAACCCAAACAGAAGTCCGGCCCAAAGTCGACAGCAGCCCCGAGATCATCTGCCGCATCGGCCTCAGCTCGCCCGGTACCGGAGTTTGATGATGACAGTGAAGATGAGGATGACGTCAGAGTAGTTGAGCAGGCAGATGATGATGGCGTGAACGTCGAAGGTGGTGAAGAAGAGACGATTGCTGAAGACCCGGCAGTTGACAATTCGAATGACAATCGTGAGATCTTGCAAGCACTTAAGAAGTTGACCGATTTTGTGACGACTTTTGCAAGCCGCAGCACGAGATCCAGAAGCCCATTGAGGAGGAAGAAAACGTCGCGTGCAGCTGAGCCTAGGCCGAGATCTCCAAGGGCCAGGCCAGCAAGGTCGAGGAGTCCAGTTCGATCGACAAAGGCAAAAAGTGCAGCTGCTCCGAAGAAGCCAGAGAGCCCATCGACTTCACCCGTGATTTTGAGCCCTCATACGCCTGATCATCCTCCACCTCCTGGCCCGCCACCGAGGCTTTTGAACAAGACGAGATATGATGAGTCTCAACGCGTTGACTTGGAGGATGAGCTATGGCCGCTTTTGACAGAT